GCAAACTACTGCTTATTTCTATATAAAAAACAGTTTGTCCTGATTGACTGACTGGCTGACTGATTGACTAATTGGGTGTCTGACTGGTGATCAGCGCATAGACAAAACCATAAAATGTTAGGATGAGGACGGAGTTTTGGGAAACTCCGCCCGCAAGTGTGGGAAAATCGCGAAGGTTGAATGAAAGTTTTCTGTCTATCATTCGATCATACTCAAAGTCATTTACAAACATCTTTGTTGAAAGTAATTTTCGGAAATTCCTCCTTGGACAAAATAGGGTTTCAAACATTTAATGTGTAAAGTCTCGAGTTTATTTATCGGTTTGAGGCTTCAATCGATGACACTAAAACAGGCGCCTAATGTTGTGTTTTAACTTGTTTGACTTCAAGTCATTTTCAAGTATATTGAAGTAGATTTAACTGTTTCACGATCGGGAAATGGGTGGCAAATTGCTGTCTTCATTTTGAAGGAAAAAACTGGGAACCAAGCAAGTTTTATATAGATCGACTTGTATCTTTCATTTGACAACTTTGAATGTATGTAGCATACACATTCCACCCGACCGTATGTTTGAATCCATATAAACATGCCTAGAATATCATTTCTTGCTCAAGTACAAATCTTGGAGAAATGCAACAGATGCAGATACATTTGTATCTTTTTTTGATCTAAACGGGCACATGCTGCGTTCCTGGTATTTTTAAAGCAATCCAAGAGTTTCAGGCTTTGTCCCTATGCATATATTTGGTATTCTTGGCTGTGTTTATGTTGTACCATTTGTTTGTTTGGCCTGCAATGTGTATCTTACAGATACTCGACAGAAAACAGGGCTAACAAAGTTTTTGTTTGATGTGTGTGTGTGTGTGTGTGTACATTGAAACTGCAATAAATGTTGACTTGATGCCTTAACTTTTGACCTGGAGTTACAGGGCGTTGGCTGCATACCCAGCAAATATGCATCTATAACTGTGGGCCGACAATGAACCCACCAATGAAAGTGCAATCAAGTCGAGGTGGACTTCGGCTGGAGCTGGGGCTGAGTCTGGGACAACGTCAATGACTGCTGCCAGCGCTAATTGCATTTATCGCTGCTTAGATGTTAATTATGACAGCGCAGAGTGCACTCTGTACAATAAACGTTGAGCACACACACACACAAATACACACACATACACACATCACACGCTTGCATGCATAGGCGTATCTAGCTGCAGTTGATATTGCTGATTAAGCAGGAGCCGCTCACAGCGAGGTCAATGCTATTGTTGCACTCTGATATAATAGATATTTTTATAGCCCGCACAACCCGCATATTTCTACAGGCAGTTAAAGCTGCTGATAAGGCGTAAGCTTTAAATAAAGCCGAAAATAGGGTTTTTGGACCAACATGGAGTAGGTAACACCTACGAAATGTTTCTCACATCCATGATTCTGTTCTTTATTTGTGCCATAATTATCGACTTTCGCCAATAATTTGTATTTCCTGTTTAACTTTTTATGTCCTGTTATTATTCATGATTTTTTTTCCGGAATATTATGGAATGCTTAATAGTATTTTGCGAAAGACTGTCTTAAATACATGTAGTCTAAGCTTAGAAGAATCAGGAAGCATATCATTCATATTGGACTTTAAACTGAATCATCTCTAGTTTCGTTTTTGTATCTTTTATATTAAGAAATCAGTTTTAAGGTTTAACAATGTTCATTGACATTGTCTGTTCCATTGACAACTGTGTACATGGTACTAAAGGTATCATTTGAAGTATGTAAGAAGCTATTAAATATGTATATATTTCTTAATTTTAATTATAGTTTCACAAATATAATAGCTTGGCCCCAAATTGTTAATGCTTTGGGACGGAGCTCATCTCGCGAATTACATTTAAAACAAAACATTTAATTTAACGTTTATTTCACGGCTCGCAAAATTAATAACTTATAGAGCAACCCTCTCTCACATTCAAAAAGCCATATTCAATCCCTCAACTACTCAAGAGCATTCTTTTGCTTTTTGCTTGTAATTTCTGTTTTTGTTTTGACTAAGTTTTCGTATCTGTATCATCAAATGGTGTCTAAGGTTACACTTGCAGTTGCCCCTGGCTAAGGTCTGAGGTTATGACGGCGGCCTTAAATGTGAACATTAGCCACAATTTGTGTGTGCGTCTTTAGTGAATTCATTGATATGTCTTTCTAGCGAGCATGACCATAATGAACAACATTTAACCACACAACAGGTTGATGGTGGGCTTATCTTAATTTTCTGGCCGACTTAGGTAGATTTATATATGCTCGCGTTCGCGGTGCAATACATTTTGTGTGCTTCTAGTTTATAGCGCCAAGTTTGCATATAAATCCAACAAACAAATAGGCAAAGCTCGTATTCTGCAAGCATTAGTCACAGCGGCAAAATATGCTCATGCGATAAGCGAAAGATGCAAACTTATCTATAAAAGACAGCTGCTGATTACTACATAGAATAAATAATAGTTAAAAGATCCAACTAATGATATTTTTATTCAAGCTATTGGCACCTTCTCCTCAATAAATAGCTCCAGCTCCAACTAGCATTATATCATCAGCAGCCTTAATTATTTAAACAAATATTTGCATAAGCATTCAAATTTTGCTGTTGCGTGGTTTGCCTTTCGCCTATGTTTCTTGCTTATTTTGATTTGACATTAATAAATTATACACAAAGTATTGTTGTTAACTATTACAAAAAAAAGAAATGAGAATTGTTTTGCATATATACAATTAATTTGCTGGCTTGGCTTGGCTATATATATATATATATATATATATCTTGTTTTTTTTCTTTTCGGGTGTGGCCAGTTCAGTATCCGTTTAATGCATAGAATTCAATTTGTCGCCGTTGCCTGTTGCTGTTTATTAGGCCAAAATAAAGACAACACAACAACAGCTGCAAGCGCAAGCAACAGCAACAACAAGCAAGTAAGGAGCGAGCTCAAAGAGCAAAGCAAACACGTTTTTATGTGCTGGAAAAGTCGCCGTTGCAAGTGAAAGCGCCGACGTCGACGTTGACGTCGCTCGTTGCCCGTTAAAGTCCCGACCAACAATGGGAGGCAGTTACTCGCCAGCTTCAAGTTTTCCTTAAGGCCTCCCACCGCCTGCTCCACCTCCTGCTGCTGCTCTTGCTCCTGCTCTTGCTCTGGCGGCGCACGCAGCTTGCCATCATATTTCACTCCCTGCACTTGTCGTTTTTGCCATTGCTGTTGTTGTTGTTGTTGTTGCAGTGGCTATAAAAATAACTGAACACTTGCCATTGCACACTTGGCCAACTTTGGCAACTTGACGCTTACAGCAAGCGGCAACAAACGAGTTGCTGTTGTTGTTGACTCTGTTGCCCAAAACCCAAAAGACCTGGCCCGGCTTTGCTTTGCATTGGGCTAACTATTTTCTGCGTGTGTGTGTCTGTGTCCACCACTCGTTGTCTCTCGCCCAAGGGGCGAACATTTAATTTCATTCATTGGCGACGGCAGCCAAAACTGCCAAAAATGGCTAAAAGAAAAAAAACATTTAAAACAAAAACAAAAACAAATGTTAATTCCATTGTTATTATTATTGTCTGCTTATTGAATACACTTAGCTAAGCATATTTGAGGCCTTCTTAACAAGTTTGTCACTAGATCCTTATTATAGAGTTAACTAATTTTCTTCTATATCATGTAATTTGTAGAATCCTAATTTTAGGAATTGCCTAATTTATTGTAATTAAAATAAATAATTAGAACAAGTTTATAAACTCACAATTGTGTTTTTAAATAAATACCTTTTTATTTAATGTCGGATGTGTTTCATCCTTTTCAGATAATCCATTACTCTTGGGTGGAAAATATAGGTCGGACTTTGTTTGGGTGAACTTCGTTTCGAAGATCTATGTAAACATTATTAAATTATTCGCGGGAGGGGAATGTGGCTAAAAAGTATTGACAAAAATTTAATGAAAATAACTTGGAATACGAGATCATTTTCGCATCATATGAAATATTTATATATAGTAGAGTATTTAGAGGGCGGTAATCTAACCAAACACTTTTACCTTACGGTAGTTTCTTATTGTTTTGCCGTTGATGTTGGCCACGTGAATTTACGCCTAGGTTTGGGTTATTTTACTGGCCAAGTTGCTACGTTGTGCACATTTTGAACGACAGTTGTTGCTGTTGCTGTCGATGGCTGTTGTTTGGTCTTATCCATCGCCTTTCGTCTTAGCGTCGTCTTGGCTGACTTTAATGCCATTTTCGTGCCGGCAGCCGCTTGGAAAAAAATACTTTTAACCATATTGTGTTTTTGTTGTTGTTTGTTTTTGCAGGCACTGTATGCACAATGCGCTTTATGCTCAATGCCTGCATGTTTGCATCTGAGCTTTTTTTCATAGCTTGTAAAAAACAGGTACAACAAAAAGTTAGTTGGTAATTACAATGTGGCAAGCTGGCAGGTGAAGATGCGTATAAAGTTTTTGCTCCAATCGAATTCCACGAGCATCATTCACATTCATGTGCGTTATGACGTTAGTATCGCATGGGTGAGTGTCTCTTTGTGAGCATCTTTCACACCTGCTGATTTTTCTTGTACTGCATTAAAAAGTACCAGATTCGCCATTACGTACCTACATTTTTTTTTCATATATATATATTTTCAACATTTACCGATTAGCTGTAGTTGATATAAAACGCAAAAACTCTCAATCAACAGCCCACATAAACAATTATTTTTATGTACTGAGTTTCTGTAATACAAGTTTTGCATTATTCTTTGTCTTGCGACCCACACGTTGTTGTGAAACCTGAAATGAATGAACAGCAAAAGATCTCAAAACAATTGTTTTTTCTTTCTTGTAGCTGTCCCCTTTCTGGTAATGGATAGTATCATAACTCTTTAAGTGGCCTTCACATTGAAATGTCAATAACATTTGAACTATGATTTATAATCAGTTTATATACTTGGCTAATTTATGTTCAACATTTTGTATCTTTTTACAGTTAATGCTGCATGTACTTATGACAGATCTAAAAGATAACGCCTTCGACTGAGAGATGTAAGTAGAGCTCCAATGCGATTTATAACCCACGTCCCACGTTCATATTTAGCCTGCGAGACAATTTTGCAGCATTAGCCTTGTAAATGTATGCAAATTGTTATTAAATTTGCAAAACAACTTTGTATGACCCGAATCCAAGTTGGTAAATGGAACAGCCGGCTGCGCCCCCTCAGCACAAATACCAGAACCCAAGCGGCATTGTGTGCAGGCGGCATAAATTTTATTTAAATGTAGGTGCACGGGCAACATAATATGATGTATCCATCCCCACACCGGAAATTGAAGCGAGAAACTTTTATAGAAAACACAGCGGCACTCGACAACTGCTGTGCAAATGATGTCAGCAATTTTATAAGGATATATGACATGGAGAAAATGTGGCAGGCTACATTGCTCTGAAAATGAGGATGCTGCAAATTGAAGGGTTGAGCAGCGCTCGCTCATGATGTCATTTTGCGGGTAGCCAATAGCTCAGTAAATTGATTTTGCATATAATTCGATTTTTATAATATCCCAGTACACTCAGAAACAATTAAAATGCCATTTAAAAGTATATGTGTAATATATATGTAGTGAAGTGCTCACTCGTCCACAGAAACTCTATCTCTCTCTCTCGCCGTCACTTTTATGCTCGGGCTGCCAAATGTTTGGCTATTGGCTGCTTTGACCCAATTTTCCTTGTGTCTAATAATAGAGAATTTTTATATATAATTTTTTTTTTCAACATATACATTTAAATACATATTTTGCTTTAATTTTTTAATGTACTTTTGCCTCAACAAATCCATACGAAATATTTTGCGTAAACTTTTAAAAGTTTATTTGACAACATTTTCTGTTAGGGCGAAATCTTGTAAAAAGTTGAAAAATTTTAGTGGCTTTTGCTCGTTAACTAATCAAAAACCATTTTAGGCAACAAAATTTCAATTTTAGTTTCCTCTAATTATATCTGATTTATTTGTTAATGTCTGCTGCTGTCAAATGAGATACATCAAAAAATTTGTAACAATGGGCAAATATTTGGCTCGCCACCAAAATAGGCGACGAGTTTCATCTAATCAAAATTTGTTTACGTACAAATTTATTTTCTCTAGTTTTTCGCTGTCATCTCGTTTATAACAAAAAAACGATTTTAATGCAACGAGAAAAGTGCTGTCATGTCAAAATGTTTTTCCTATCGTGAATACCCCGTATGTAAATAAGTATATGTAAATACATTTATATACTGATACATACCCTCTGCCATCAGCTGCGTTTCCGCATTGTTTATGGGATCTGGTCCGGCTTTGTTGTTTTGGTTTTTTTATTTTCTCGTTTTGTCATAAATCAATTTGTTGCAATTTGAACATATTTGCGATACATTGCCGCCCAATTGGCGCAATTGGGTGCCAACATTAGAAAACATTTGGCGCAAACAAACGCCAACATGCGAATAACTCAATCAAGCGTTTGGATGAATGCTTTTAGGGAGCCGAGAACTACACTTAAGAGTGCCAATAAACCAGAAGTTGAACATGTTGCTACAAATGATAGGAGTGGATCCTAGCCTGTGTTAGTAGGGTTCCCAAAAATACAAGCACTTGGAGCGCGCAAATTTCTAAGAATTGCCGCTGCTAGGTTTTGGAGAGAATCTTGTTAGCTTTCAATATTAAAACTAACTAAAGCAATTGGATTTTTATCTTAATTATATGAAATCCAGCTTTAACGATTTCGCTTTAAAATACTTTCCGAATGTACAACTATATTTTTATGATAAATTCCTGCCAGTATTATATGTATTTGTTTTCCGTTTGAATTCACAGCTGTCGTTTGGAATATGTTTCCATTTGTTTAGCTACAGTATTAAACTCTTCACGTATTTTTCACATATTTCAGCCGATATTTCCAATCTTATAAACTAAACGAAATGATATATGTTAATTATGTGACTCACATATGAAAATGCAGTTTGAGTTGTGTTTGCATTTATGACTTTTTGACAAAGTTAGAAAGTATCTCGAACTCTGTTCCGTCACTTTCTTATCGGCGTTGTGTGTTCTGCGTTTATAAATCACGTTATCTTTTGCTGCAGCGTTTGAGTGTTGATTATGAAAACATTTGTATTACGCGTTGTTTTTTGTTTCATAGATACAATATCTATAAACCTATAATTAGAGTTTCGCCTTTTCGCCTTATATGTCATTAATTTACCTTGTTGTTGAATTCTCATTGTTTTTGTTTACTTGCAAGTGGGCAAGTGTGCGTAGATAGATATTCATTGTGTGAATAAATTTATCTGTATCAATATGTGAATACGCTCTTTTATTCACAAATGCTTAAAAAATGCCCGACAGCCTCGGAGATGTTTCATTAATGAGCGGGCGGCTTTTGAGTGCGCAACGAATCGAAAGAAATTGTGTATAAAAATATTGTGAAAATAAATTGTGAAAAGACATTTGACAAGCGTCAAAAAGAAAAATAAACAAGCAAATTTGCACAGGTAATCAGACAATTTGAAAAATTGACAACAAAAAACAGCAACAAACCAAACAATCCGAAAAATTAATGTTGCGCACAAATATTGTATTTTTAATAATTATGAAATTTACTGGCTATTGGCCAATTCGGTTTCTGTACTCTCTAGAGAAATGGCTCGTTTAATTCATAGAACCTTGATCTTGTCCGGCAGCCATGTGCAACACGTCATATTTCATATAATCTCTCGATTATATTTATTTTTTTTGCTATGACGTGTGCTTAGAAAAGATACAACCCTCCAACACCTTGCAGTTTGCATAGCATGATGACTCATTCGGGCTGTATGGAAATAAGTGTAGACGAGTATCCCTTATATATTCATTTGAGGTATTGCCCTAGCGACCGCCACGTGCCGTGCTTAGCAATTTCTCAGTCTTCCTGCCTCAACAAACAAGGCATTACGCCGGTTAACCAGATGAGCAAAATCGATAAGCATTTAACTTTCTCACTACTTTCCACTTTAACTTCCATGTTGTTCATGTTTAATTTCGTATGTTGAGCCACCCAGCTCAACGTTCTGCCCGCGAGTGACATAATATGCTGTGCCCAATGTGTCACACGCCGCCTTTATTGGGGCAACTCGACAAACTGAAAGGGACAAAAGAGAAGGAATATAAAAAACGAGACAGAAAGAGAAAGGGACATCAAGCGTCAGAATGTCGCCAACCCCAACTCTATAGGTGGTCGTAAAGTACATATATATAGCTTCAGCGGACATTTTCAGCCTGGCAAACGTTTAATCAAATCTTCTATTTTATATATAGATATTCACATCAAAAGTTATATTTAGTTAAATGAATAAGTATTATAAAAGTTTCTTAATTCTTAAATTAAGCAACATAGTTCCGAATTTACGTAAAATTCAGCCTAATTAAAGGGAATAAAATACTATTACTCCAAAAGAAAAGCGTTTAGATTTTTCTTAACATAATTACCAGTGATATTTTTCAGAAATATTTAACTACATTTATCTAGATTTAATTTAATTTAATTAACTTAACGAGATAAAACATTTGTGTTCTGTTAAGAGGTATTTTAGTGTCGAGTGTTTAACTTAAATTCTTGTTGCTTGTTGTTCCTTGACGAGCTTTGGCATGGACGCTTGAATCCGAGCACTGTTTTTCGTGGCGCCAATCGAATGTGTGCCCAATGTGCAACTTAAATAGACGATAAGAGGACAGAAATCGGTAATAATATCCTTAGAACAATTTGTCTATGGTAGGGTCAAACGTTTTATATGTATGACAAAATGAAAAAGAGTTAAAAGGCATTTCTTTTGTAAGCTAACTAATAGAATAGTACTACAAGAGAATGAGAGAGGCCTAAGTATGTTAGTACGGAAATTGAAGAAAAGGAAGTCCTGTTTGTCCTTTTCCATTGTGCATTCGTTTTTTGTTTGCTAGTGTCTTTTTGTAAAGTTCTTAAGAATTGTGTTAAGCTTTTGCCTGAGTTGTCAAATATTTTCGTCGATTTCTTTTATTTGTTTTTATAGTTCAGATTGTTATATACCTTAGAACTAGCGAGAACATACAAATAATTTTATAAAAATATTTCGATTTCTTTTTGATCGCTAGCCAAAGCATCGTCGAGCGTAAATTTCTTGTACATATTTAGTAGTTAAACCCAAAAAATATTTATTCGCTATGAATCCATCGAACTTGGGCAAACAGAATGGAGCTTTAGTATTAGAGGTACTCCAGGTGCTTGGGCGGCCGGCCACCATTGAGGAGGTATCTCAGCGTGTGGCCAATATATATAAAGTGGCCCGTAAACGTATTCAGCCTGTTGTTGGTGATATTCTTGCGGCTGGTGTGCATCAGGGTTTCTTTAGCTGCCGAAACTATCAGTACTCAATTGTCCAGCTAACTATTGATCAGTTGCGCCAAGATATCGATAAGTATGTGGATGAAATGCTATCACTGGACTGTCGAGATGAGGAAGTGCTGCCGCAGCCATCTCCGCTGATGATTAAGCTGGAGCAATTGGACGGATCGCCGCCAATATCGCCGCCATTCGTGCTATCGCCTTCGCCTTCATCTGGGGAGCTGCGCGAGCGTACGCCCCCTGGAGATGCATCATCGGCAGTTGCCACATATTGATTGACACTCTGATTGACACTGCTGCCCTTTTGACTAGCTTTTTCAATGTATTTCTCAAGATATCTGTTTTTAAGTGTAAATTTGACAGCACATGGGAAAACCTACACAAGTGCAGTGGAGTTCAGTCCAGTGCAATAAACTCTCGACCAGGGCAGTCCAGTATACCCATCTAACAATGCGATTATTTCTCGGCTCATTTAATTTACAAAAAGCGGGGTAACGAGCAGCCAGTACCCGGTGGCAGTATTGCCTGCGGCTTCAGTTCCTTTGTTGTTCCTGTTGTTTTTTTTTTTCTCTTTTTTTTTTTTTTTATATTATAGCTACTCATTTGTGCGCCAGCTTGTGAGATTCCAACGTTCTCTGGATTCCACATTCCTTGCAAACAAAGGCCAAGTTTTGCCCTGTCTCGTGGCTTACTTTTCATTTTTATTGCAACGCTTTGAAGTTCATTTTCATAAGACCCAACTATATGGTGTATACATGCACAGTGTGTGCATATAGTATATCGTATGCTTTGTCGGAGCACTTAACAGTCTGTTCCTTGGACCCATTGTCAGGTTGTTGCACGTCTAGCGCCCACGCCAAGGTTCAAGTCTGTGCCACAAAACTTTAGCTTTTCAGTAGCTCATTTCCCCATTGGCCTTTGCGTTTTGTCTGCTCTGGTTGTCAATGCTGTACGCTTTTAAATGGCAACGCAATTTTCCTTTCACTCCTTTGTTGTTCCGATTTCACATCCAATCCAATCTACACAAATCTGAGCAGCCTTTCCTGGTGCCGCCTCTGGTATTTGCATGAGTAATCGTCGCCTGACTGTCCGCTTTATGCGCTTCTTTAATTTTGATTTATTTTTGCTTTTAATTTAATTAATTGAAGCACGATATTGCGACTAAATTTGCCTTGTTGCAATTACGAGGAACCAAATTGTTGTCAACGACAATGCCTGAAAGGGGTTTGTTATGTTCTAGGCATCCCTTTAAATGCTTGGACGTGCTCTATATAAAGCACTGCGATAATTAAGTATGCAAAGCAGTTCCATAACCCATTCAGTTATCAGTTATTGATTCATAATTGACAAAGTACCTATATTTCACATAATATATTCCTTCTGGTTATGCACTCAACATTTAATCCAATTATAACTTTGATAAATTGTTTGTCCGCAAAGCAGCGAGGAGAAATTATCTGGTCAACGTTGCGAGTGCTGTACTTAACGCTACCCTGTATTCAGATGTCAAGTAATGGAAATGAAGACTGACAATCGCTATAAACCGAACTCTATCGAACCAGTCTAAGAATAAAAGAACAGCAAAACATCGTTTTAGCTAACCTTTTTTTCAAATTGAGAAAAATGTGACAGACCAAGGTTTGCAGCAAAAACTGGGTTCTTGGCTGTGAACAACCAGGCTTAGGAATCATCTGTAAAGGCAAGGCATGGATTTACGGCCATAATTATCATAATACACTATTAAACATGTGTTTGATATGCAATATATGATGTTTTGTTGAAAACATTGAATAGTAATAAGGTAGAAAAACTTCGAAAGCTTACAAATCAACTTGGTATGCAGGCACTCAATTTGCGATAGATATGTTTTGCAGTTGGTACTAAAAATACAAAATGTTCCAATATATACTTGTGATCAGCCACATTTGTTATGTTTGATGTGCAGTATGCCTTGAAAAATTATTCAAATATAATTCTTTTAATAATATAGGTATTATTGCACATAGACTCAAAGACAACGAACTAACTAAGCAACGAACTTACTACTAATATCTTTAATGCGAGTGATTCTGTTCAGCCATACGAGAAATCGGATAGTCCACATTGTTATATAGGAAAGTACTATATATAGGAAGTGAACAACACGCACTCTCACTCTCTGTTCGAGCTCAACTTGCTGAACCCGCGCGAAAAGCTTTTCTTGTGTCGTTGACTTTAGCTCATAAGCTGAGGAGACGATTGTAAATATGATTTCAATTTTTTTTTGTTTTGTCATTAATTAATGACATTGTGGCAGCGAGATGGCAAAATTAATTAAAGGCACAGAGACAAAAAAAGAGCGCTGTGGTGAATGCTGAATGCACAGATATTTTGCAAATAACTATATAAGGGGTTTATTTATTAATTATTTAGGCAAAATTAGCGTCTAATTAAATGAATTTCAAAAATTTCAATTCAGCATAAAATGTCACTCGTTTTTGGCTAATCAAAATTTGTATTTCTTCTATTTGTAGCATGAGCCGCCAGCATCAGCGGCACCACCAGCAGCAGCTGCAGCAACAACAGCAGCAGCAGCAACAGCAACAGCTGCTGACGGCACAACAGCAGCAACAACAGGCGCTGCTGATGGCAGAACATGCCGCCGCCGCGGAGGCCGCCGAGCTGTTCGATCTGCTTTGTGTGGCAACCACAATGCGCCAAATATTGGCTCTGCATCGAGCCATGTGCGAGGCGGTGGGGCTGCGTCCATCGCCGTTGAACGATTTTTACCCGAAGCTCAAGGCCAAGGTGCGATCGTGGAAAGCGCAGGCGCTGTGGAAAAAATTCGATGCACGTGCCGCACATCGTGTCTATGGCAAGGGCAATGCCTGTACTGGCACTCGTGTCCTGGTCATTGGCGCCGGGCCCTGTGGTCTGCGCACGGCCATTGAGGCGCAACTGCTGGGTGCCAAGGTGGTGGTGCTAGAGAAGCGCGATCGTATAACTCGCAACAATGTGCTGCATCTGTGGCCGTTTGTCATCACGGATCTGAGGAATCTAGGTGCCAAGAAGTTCTATGGCAAGTTCTGTGCGGGCTCCATTGACCACATCTCCATCAGGCAGTTGCAGTGCATGCTTCTCAAGGTGGCTCTGTTGCTGGGAGTTGAGATACACGAGGGTGTCGGCTTCGATCATCCCGTGGAGCCGAGCGGCGATGGCACCGGTTGGCATGCAGCGGTCACGCCAGCGGATCATGCGGTGTCAAACTATGAATTCGATGTACTGATCGGTGCCGATGGCAAGCGTAATATGCTTGATTTCAGACGCAAGGAGTTTCGCGGCAAGCTGGCCATTGCCATAACGGCCAATTTTATCAACAAAAAGACCGAGGCGGAGGCCAAGGTGGAGGAGATAAGCGGTGTGGCCTTTATATTCAATCAGGCCTTCTTCAAGGAGCTGTACAGTCGAACGGGCATTGATCTCGAAAACATTGTCTACTACAAGGATGAGACGCATTATTTTGTGATGACCGCCAAAAAGCACAGCCTGATCGATAAAGGTGTCATTATTGAGGACATGGCCGATCCCGCCGAGCTGCTAGCGCCCGCCAATGTGGACACCCAGAAGCTCCATGACTACGCACGCGAGGCTGCCGAATTCTCCACGCAATATCAAATGCCCAATTTGGAGTTTGCTGTGAATCATTATGGTAAGCCGGATGTGGCCATGTTCGATTTTACCTCCATGTTTGCTGCCGAGATGTCCTGCCGTGCTTTGGTACGTAAGGGCTGCCGACTACTTCAGTGCCTCGTGGGTGACAGTCTGCTGGAGCCTTTCTGGCCCACTGGATCGGGCTGTGCTCGTGGTTTTCTGTCTAGCATGGATGCTGCATATGCCATCAAGCTGTGGTCAAATCCGCAGAACAGCACCTTAGGCGTTCTGGCACAGCGTGAAAGCATCTACCGATTGCTTAATCAGACCACACCGGATACTCTGCAACGTGATATCAGCGCCTACACTGTGGATCCGGCCACACGATATCCGAACCTCAATCGCGAATCGGTGAATAGCTGGCAAGTAAAGCATCTTATTGACACCGATGATCCCTCAATACTGGAGCAGACTTTTATGGACACGCACGCGATCCAATTGCCACATGTCGAGACGCCGGGCAGACGCAAGCGTCGCAGTGGAGGTTAGTTTATATAGCCAAAATTGTATTCGTGAAATGTATCTTTATGCTATTTTACAGATACTCTTCCACAAGGTGCCACTTTGCTACGCTGGATAAGCGCACAGCTGGCTGCCTTTCAGTTTGCCGCTGATCTCAAGGAGCCCTCGGATGTGTTTCGCAATGGCCGTGTGCTGTGCGCCCTAATCAATCGGTGAGCGAAAGCTTCCTGTTATTAAGCTCCTACTCATTTATGCCCCTTAAATCTCTTTAGGTATCGACCCGATCTTATTGATTATGCTGCCACCAAGGACATGAGTCCGCTAGAGTGCAATGAGCTGGCTTTTGCCGTGCTGGAACGTGAGTTGCACATTGATCGCGTTATGAGCGCCAAGCAATCCCTCGAACTGACCGATGTTGAGTCGCGTATCTGGCTCAACTATATGGACCAAATCTGTGAGCTGTTTCGCGGCGAGATACCACACATTAAGCATCCCAAGATGGACTTTAGTGACCTGCGTCAAAAGTATCGCATCAATCATACGCACGCCCCGCCGGACTTCTCCAAGCTGCTGCAGACAAAGGCCAAGGCCAAGTCGCCCATGCAGGATGCCGTCGATGTACCCACAACTGTACAGCGACGCTCTGTGCTGGAGGAGGAGCGCGCCAAGCGACAACGCCGCCACGAGCAGCTCTTGAACAGTGGCGGCGTTGCCGCTGGCGCCGCTGCAGCCAGCAGCGCGGGTAGCAGCAACTTACAACAGGGTGTGTTAAAAATAACGATAATACAGCAAAAAGCCAAATCTAGAACAAGTGTGCCGCCCAAGCTGCCTCTCTAAATTGTATAATCCGAATAAAAATCTATTTACTTTGTACTCATATGTCATGTATATCATATAGCGCATCTTAAGAGCTAGAGATCATTTAAGTCTGGTCAACCCAATTAATAGGTATTATATCACTTCTTTGTGAGCTCGATATCATGTTAGTTTTAGTCTGTCTGATTGTTGTGACTATCTGCTATATGATTGAATTAAAAAATAGATACATAGATATGTGAATACATGATAATATTGAATAATATATAAATCATATGAAATAATGCTGATATTGAGATACCTCAAAATCCCTAGAAATCCCTAGATATGAAAATCACATATGCCTACTTAAGGCATATTAAAATAAGAAAAACCTTATCCGATTCTCGAGCACATCTCATTTATTGGCCAAATAGGTTTTCTTATCATACGGTTTCTTTGTTTTCATTTTGAGTGGGCAGCTGGTTCACTTCACCTAGCTTTTATTTATCAAAATCTAACTATATTTCTCTTTTATCTCACTTGCAGCTCAAAGTGATACGCCGCGTCGCTCGAAGAAACGTCGCCAGGCTGATAAAACGGCGAACATTGTGAGTAAATGTTTCGACTATATCATGGATTGGTTCACTCGCGCATTAAATGCAGCTTGAAAAGTGATGCCATATCAAAATTTCTTGTATATATTCTTAGTTCGTAAATTTAGCAAATTATGCAAATGTGCTCGGAGAGACCATCACTTTTCAACTGTGTCAACAAATTCTCTTTCTCTCTCTTTCATACAATTCTCCTTAAAATTTACGCTCATACAAAAAAAATTATTAATTGTAATTTATTGTTGATCGCTTATCATACAACCATAAAAAAAAAATCGAATACCGATAAACCAAGGTTAAACTCATACTGAAAACAGCTCTCTTTCATGAACTCAGTAACGTCATAAGCGCATACGAATCCATCAACGAGGTCAGTTCGCTCAGTGTCCAAAGTTTTGCCATTTGTCATCCGTTTATCGTGTGCTAAAATACCCATTGTAAACGTAACATTCGATATATTTCTACTAATGCAACCAGATCCTACACCAGTCGTTAGTCATATAGTTCTTTAGATTAGTCTACGTTTTATGTCTATTTCATTTAAACACATATGATTACTCACTCTCCCTGCCACACACCCAACCACACACGTACACTTGCCCACACATACTGTGAAATTGTCAATTCTTGACTCTCCACTCTGCTGCGCAGGAGGAGCGCCAGCAGCGCCTGCAAGAGATCGAGGAGAATCGTCATGATCGCATGAGCAGGCGACGCCAGCAGCGTTTCCATCAGACGCAGAATTTCTACAAGAGTCTGCAACTGCTGCAGGCGGGCAAATTACTGCGCGAGGGCGATGGTGTAGCTGAGGGCGTGGCCGAGGATGGCACACCCTTTGAGGACTATTCAATATTCCTGTATCGGCAGCAGGCACCCGTATTTAACGATCGCGTCAAGGAGCTTGAACGCAAGCTTCTGTTTCCCGTAAGCAAAGAGGATACAATCAAGATCCTTCTATTGCCTGACTGCCTGCTGGTTTCTCTATATGTTGGCTGACGCAAATGCTGCACGCTGCGTCTGTGTTCCTTATGTGTTTGTCTTTGCTCAACGCTTTCTCCAGTCTTTGCTCCTCTAACACAAACTAAACTAACCGAACTGCCAGGCTCTGCGTGCTTTGGCTAACAAAAAATAAAAAATAAAGAAATGTTGCGGCATGAGGCGGAAAAGTATTCCATGAAGCTTGGGCCTAAATCGTATAGCGACTAATGTGTTGTCTCTAGAACTTTCCTAATGTGACAAAATAAAGCTCAAATATAATAAGCTTGTAAAAGATGTTCTAACTAAAACCAAGTTAAATAATATATATATATACGTATATTTATAAGATGCAACGTTTTGTTAGTGTGTTTTCTGCCAGATACAAAAGTAACTTTCGCTAAGTGCGTTCATCTAATTAGTAAAAATATTAGTTATAATCATTAATTGTTTGCTTTTTGGTTTTTTATTGCTGTTTATGTATTTGTGCCTACAACGATATATCTTTAAATTTATTCAAATTTTGATTTCTTCACTCCCCTTTAAAATGTTAACAATGCCCGCCCTACAATTAATGCAATCTGACACCAACACAAAATTACACTTGAATTCAACATTGATGGCTGCTGCACCACCAAACACCAAATACCTTACCACTCCTTAAATAGGATCGCGAACGTGGTGACATACCCTCAGCGGTGCCACGGAATGCTGCCGATGAGCAGTTCAGCGATCGCATCAAGAACATGGAGCAGCGCATGACGGCACGCGCTGGACATGGCAGTGATAAGAAACCCAAAGATCTGATGCGTGCCATTGGCAAGATCGATTCGACTGATTGGAATGTGCGCGAAATCGAAAAAAAGATTGAGTTGTCTAAGAAGACCGAAATACATGGGCCAAAAGGGCGCGAGAAGGTGCCCAAATGGAGCAAAGAGCAGTTCCAAGCGCGTCAGCACAAAATGTCCAAGCCGCAGCGACAGGATTCGCGCGAGGCCGAAAAGTTCAAGGAGATCGATACGACGCTCAAGAATCTGGATAAACAGCTCAAGGAGGGACACAATCTAGACGTGGGGGAGCGCGGACGCAATAAGGTCGCCTCCATTGCTGGACAATTCGTCAAAAAGGATGAAACCAATTCGGATGAGAAGAATGCCAGCAGCAATGCCACCACCAACACCAACAACACTGTCATACCAAAATCTGTGAGTAGTTTTGCGTTCCAATCGAATTATTTCTTTGGGTTTATGTTTATGTGTTTTTATCCTCTATAAATATATCCCGTCTTATATTTATTTGCTTTATGGCTTTTGTTAACGTAGTCGCCGCGTCCTTATGGTTTAAGGTTCCTAGCGTGTTGTTGTTATTGTGGCTCTTGTTGTTTTAGTTAGCGTGCTTTTAACTGAGGTCGTTCGCGCACTCTCACACACACACACAAACACATTCACTTGTACATGACACTCATCTGTATTTAAATGCAAATCTTAACTGTTGTTGGCAGTGCTAACCACAAACCCAACAGTAACATTTTTATAATGGCTTTCACCCACACCCACAGAGCTCTAAGGTGGCGCTGGCCTTTAAGAAGCAGGCCGCCTCCGAGAAGTGCCGCTTCTGCAAGCAAACTGTTTATCTTATGGAGAAGACCACCGTCGAGGGTCTGGTGCTGCATCGCAATTGCCTTAAGTGTCATCACTGCCACACCAATCTGCGTCTGGGCGGCTATGCCTTTGATCGGGATGATCCGCAGGGTCGCTTCTATTGCACACAACATTTCCGTCTGCCGCCCAAACCCATGCCGCAGCGCGTAAGCAAAGCGAGGGTAAGCTTACCTAAAATTCGACCGTATATTAAAACCTGCTCACATATTGAATCCAAATCCCACAGAGATCCGCTGCTGCACAGCCTGTTTCACCTGCCGCACAGCAAACCCCAGCAGCTGGCGCCGCCGCTGCCGCTGATGCCGTACAGGCCATGGATACTACGCCGGCAAGAGACCAAGTGGATTTGTTGGAAACCTCAAGAGCCCCTGCCTCGGCCGATGCTATGTCTGATGATGAGGCCAATGTTATTGACGAGCACGAGTGGTCTGGACGCAATTTTCTGCCTGAATCTAACAACGACTCACAGTCGGAGTTGTCCAGTTCAGATGAGTCCGACACAGAGTCCGACTCGGAGATGTTCGAGGAAGCTGACGATTCGCCATTTGGTGCCCAGACCCTGCAGTTGGCATCAGATTGGATTGGCAAACAGTATTGTGAGGATAGCGATGATTCTGACGATTTCTACGATTCTAGTGAAGGCATCGCGGGTGCGTGAATATTAATTATATATCTTTGACATTAACTAATTCTATATCTTTTGCAGATGATGGTAAGGACGATACCGAGGGTGAGGAGTTCAAGAAAGCACGGGAGCTGCGCCGCGAGGAAGTACGCCTACAGCCATTGCCCGTCAATTTGCCCACGGATACCGAAACGGAGGTGAGTCTCTTAGAGTTTTTATCACTTGGCTATGGGAAACTAATATTATTATCATAATTTTGTTTTTAATTTTTTGTTGTATACTCTGATGATATCATACGTACAATTACTTTAAAAATTGTCCTTAAACATGGTGTTGGTTTCTAAATAAATTTACAATAATCTCAACTTGGGCATGTAGAAGCTCAAGTTGAATGTAGAGAATAAAGAAAACGTGGAACGAGGTTCCATCAAATCAGCCAACTCCTTTGAGTCGGCCCAAAGTCAGCCGAGCACGCCAGTTGCACCACCCACACGTGCTCAAGTGGAGCAGCTGGAGCGGAATGCGCCGCGAAAATTTAGCAGCGAGATCGAAGCAATTAGCGAAAAGCTATATCACCTGAACAATATGGTCAAAATGAACAAGGATCTGGAAGTGCTTGCTAAGGAAAATCTGGTGAAGAGCGACATATTGCGCAAACTAACGCTTAAGGAGAAATGGTTAGCCGAGAATGCGGCCATAGCTGCTGGCATGGCCAGTCCCATGAAGACGCCAATAGCGGCTGCAGCTGCAACAGCTACTGCACCACCCAAATCCAAGTTTGATGAAAAATATGAAAAGGTTGTCAGTCCGCCACAAGCTGTGGTTGAGCCCAAACCCAAGCCCGTCATTGATTTTAATCTGGAGGAATTGAAGCCACGCAAACCCAACTTTGAAGAGCGACCCAAGGAGCTGCTAAAAAAACCAGAAAGTCTAAAGAAGCCGGCGCAGCTGAGTCCCAAGCCGGAGCGCAAAAGCAGCGCCAATGTGAGCCGCTCCAGCAGCATGAAAAGCAATGCTAGTTCCAAGTCCAGTCCGCGTCCGAGAAAGAAGGTACCCCTGCCCAATGACAACAGAATGCAAATCGAGCGTATTCTGGGCACAGTTAAAAAACTACAACGACAGCACAGCAGCGACCAGGATGAGGAAATGGATATAGATGACGATGCTGATGCTGATTCACAAACCAACACACAAATGAGCAGCAAGCTTAAGGAAATTGGTGCCAGTAGCTTTGCGGGTACAATGGATCATATCAAATCACAGCTGGTAATGCCCACGGTGCATACAGCAAACGTGGATCTTTCCAAATATTTTCCCAATCAAAAGGAGGAGAAGAGCAGCTCAGGCAACACAAATAAGAATCAGAAAACCTTGAAGGATGTGGATCTGGCCAAGTATTTTCCTAGCAGCCCGGCGCCGCAACGACGCGCCGTTGATACTGTTGCAGAGCGACTAAAAAAATCGCAAACTGAGGCATCTATACCGCAGTCGCAGGTAGCACAAGAGCCCAAAGATGCGCACTCTAAGACAGAGACCAAGACAAAGCCTGTGCCACCCAAGCGGCAGGCATCATTGAATACTTTCAGTCTGCGCGACCATCAGCTGGATGGCGCGCTAGATTTGAGCAAGAAAAAAACACCTGTTAAGGTGGCTACCGTATCAAAAACTCCATCCAAGACCACAAGTGCAACGACCTTAGCCAAGGCCACAACCACGCCCAAGGGTAAAATAAAAATCATTAAAAAAATTGTGCCCAAAGGCACCAAGGCCAAGAAAGCAGCGGCTGCTGCAGCAGCTGCAGTTGGCCCGGAAAGTAAGCCAGAGAAGCAGCCGCCACGCGATGAAGCTGAACGCATACTGGACGAGATTTTAGCCGACGGTGAGTCTCGTTCGCCCAGCTCCGATTATCAAAAACTCTTCAATGATGAAAAGTCACCCAGTGATCTCTCGGATAAGATCGAACGTATACTTGAAGAAACGGGCCTTGATCTTGAGCTGGGCTTGCCCCGGCGCAATAGCAAGAAGCTATTGAAAACCAAGTCACTCGGCGAGGGCGACTTTGATTTACAGCCCAAGCGACTAAGTGGCGTGCAAAACATACTCAAGCGCTTCGAATCAATGAGTTCCGTCAACTCGCAGCAAAGCGATGAGCAGGCATCCTTCAAGCTGCGTCGCATGGAGTCCAGCACCAGCAATATGAGCAGTCTAAACCGCTCTCGTGAATCCCTGGTCTCTGCCAGCGATTCCATGAGTGATCTGGAGAGAACTATGGACTATTTGCGCAATGAATGGCGCAACGAGGCAACCAATTTCCTGCAAAAGAAACGCGATAGATTTTTTGCGCAAAAAGAGGAACAGCAAAAGCAGCTGGAGATAAAACCAGAGCCAGCTCGGGGACATGAGCTGCCCGTGCAATATCGCGACTCCAAGCTGGCCAAGTTCTTTGGTCTGGCGTCCCGCAAATCGCCTGAAAAGCGCAAATCACCCATTAAAAAGGAAAAATCGCCCAGCAAAAAGAGAACCTCACCGAATAAAAGCCAAAAGACAGCTAAGGCTAATAATTCACTAGAAGAGCTCGCTAAGATTAGCAATGCCCGACAGGCAAAGCAAGCGCAAAAGTCGCCAGCAAAAGTCGCCGGGGGGACTGTTAATAAAATTGAACGCAAGATCGAAGTGAGACCCGCAAAGCCAGCCACTCCTGTTCCGGATGACTTCGAGATTTTGGACTTGCTGGATAAAGCCACAGCGGCCAAGGAGCTGGAGCGCTCCCAAACAAAAAGTCCACTCGTAGAAGAGGTTCCACAGCAAACAATTAACGAAGCCGTTAACATAGAAACAGAGACTCCGCCGACGCGTCCTGTGGTCGAGGATATTAAAAACTTGCCCAAGACTGGCTGCGATAAATCGTTAAACAGTTCCCGGCGTGGTTCTCAGTCCAGCCTTGTGCTCTCGCGACGTCAATCGGATATTTCTTTGACCGAAAAACTAAACCTGGATGCTTTGGAGGCACTACACAGCATCGAGATGGAGCGCAATGTGGAGCATGTAGATGAGGTCTTTCAGAGTATGGTCGAGGCAATGGACCAAACGCCAGACAATGTTGTGGATGACGATGTGGATGCCGACTCGTTGTGCACTACCATCAGCAAGAGTCCCAGCGCCCAACCCATTACGGTGGTCAAGCGTGGCAGCTCCGAGGAGCAGAGCATCGAAAAGCTGTTTGGCAACTTTTCCGATGAAATGCTCGTGAATGTGGAGTTTGATTCCAATGATGAACTAATCGGTATAACGCCAAGTGTCAACCCGATTGCCGGCAGCTCCGAGGAACGTGATATTGTTGACAAACTAGATTCACTAGAGCGCGATGAAATACCCATGAGCAGGATGGAGGAACCTAATCGGTTTATAAACAAAGAAAATGCTGGGGTGGACGAGGTGGATAGCGCTCATTTTCCGGCACGCCCACAACGCAGACAAAAAAGCAGCTCTTCGTCCAGTGAACCTACTCTGCCAGTTGCACCACAACGTCTGAAAAAGAAATTGGCCAAGTTGGATCCAGAAAACATGCCGCCTTCGGTGCAGGATTTGCTACAACAACTGCACGTAAAAACGCTGCAGCCGGAGAAGGAAAAGCTGCAGTCTGGAGCTGCTGAAGAAACGCTTAAATTCCCAAGACTTCTTCAAGAAGAGGATGTGGTCGATCATGTAGAGAAGGAGACACCTAAGCCCAAAGAAAATGGCTTAAATAAAGTCAAGTCAGGTCGAATACCAGAGATTCTAATCGAACAGCCACAATCTTCGCTCACGAAATCCGCTGGGAGCCAAAATAATTCAATAAAAAGCGAAAACTCTTCCCACAGTAGTCTCAATGAGGCACCAAAGCTTGTAACGCCGCCAAAAGTGCGCAGCAAGGAGAATTCGCTCGACTGGGATATGGAGAAGCTGCCCGCCTCACCCATGCCCCGTCGCAAACAGCCCCTGATACCAACCAGCAAGGAGGGCTCTTTGGAATGGGACATGGAAAAGTTGCCCAACAGCCCAATGGCGCCGCGCCGTCGCTTACCCACAAGCAAACAATACGATGTCTCTCCCAGCAGCTCCATTCAGCTGCTCAATAATCTTTCTAGCCTTGATGACGATGCGGAGCGGGCGGAGGAGCGCCTTATCCAAGAATTTGAGCGGGAACGCCGTCAGGCGCTATTAAAACGCGATGAGAGCTTTGAAGCAGCAGCTGCCGAGCAGCGTCGTCGCGATTCGCAGCAGAGCAGCAGCAACTCCAGCGGTAACAACTCCAACGGCAAGCGTAATCTGCCGCCACCTACGCCTCCACAGACAAGCGTTAGACGTGGTACCACGCAGGCTAGCAGCAGCCGGCGGGAGTCCACCAAGCGAGAGGGCACGCCTCCCATGTTTAAGAAATTAGATTTGGGTGACGACAGCAACTCGACGATAGGCTCCACGTCGGCATCCACGCGACGCAGCTCATTTGCATTTATAGAATTACAGGATAATAAGCCGGTGATTGTGCCCATGCCTAAGAAGCTACACCTGCCCAAGCTGGAGGCACCAAAATATGTGCCCGAAGTAAGTGCTGACGATGAGCCAGTGCCGGAAGTCTTTAAGGATCGTGTCTGGCCAAATCAACACATTACAGGAGTGCATCCAGACAGCGAGGACGAAGATGAAGAGCAAGAACTGAAGAATAAATTGCCCGAGTATGCACGTTCCGACTCGCCGCCCTGTGCTGCCTTTGAGAATCGTCAGTGGCCCGATGGCAAAACCATTTTCGAGCAGAGCCAACGCAGCGATTCGCTTGAGGCAGATGATGTGCTCAGCTTACTGAAATCTAAGCGAAGTAGCAACAAGAGATTCAATAACAAGCCACGCTCACAGTCACCACAGCCTTTTAAGCCACTGGCAGCCAGTTCTCGCCAGGAATCCAAATCCTTTAGTGATCTCAAAACTGGAGCGCCTGCGTCTGCGTCCATGCAATCACTATCAGCAAGGTCCAGTCAGGACACAGATACGCGCTCGACCACAGCAACGGTGGCTACCTCGCGTCCATTGAGCTATGTCAACTACGATGAGTCGGTGGATGCCAGCATGCGTGCACTGCTCGATCGTAGCAAGCGGCTCCACAATCGCAAACGCGACTTTGTCAACGAGCGCGTCGTGGAGCGAAATCCCTATATGCGTGATGTCATACGTAGCACGGAGCGGACTAAGGACTATGACTTTGAGCCGGACGAGGAGCTGTCTAGCTATCGACCCCGTCACTATACCAGCAGCATGCCAGCAAAGGCTACGCCAACAACGAGTCGCTTTCCCAGCTCCATCTCCAACTATGCGCGCAGTCCAGCGCCACGCAGCACCTATGATTACCTCAGCAATGTGGGAAACAGCAGCGACTACCTCAGCCGAAGACCCTACTCTGCATTGGGTCCAACAAGTACATCTAGCTTTTATCCGAGTACAGCAGCAACAAGCAGCACACATCTCACCGATCTGTTTAGGCGACGCAGTCCCGCCTCCATGTCCAGCTACGGGCGCAGCGATTACGGCCTGCCCGCCAGCAAAGAGTCGTGCGTTATCTCTTAGTAGTTTGCCTTTATATTCGATCAAAAACATCTATTTCTCTTTTATATATTTAACCAACCAAATCAACAACAAAAACAACTTTAGAAGACGTCTCAACTATTATCTATACTGAGGCCAAATCGATCTTTAGACCTCAGCCAAATGCGAAACCAACACATGACCCAAACCCAAACAAACTATTTTCCCCACCCATGAACCCAACAAAAAAACACGCTAGGATATTATGTGGGCCAAAACCTGGTTCCCAAACCAGGCTCAGTCCGCACAACGTGTTCCCAATCAACCGAAACAACCCAACGCTAGCCCGCCTGCCTGTCTGCCAAGCCTACAACTAAGCCAAGTCTGTCCTGATCTTGTTGAATGGATAAGATGAAAGAAAAAAAGAGAGAGAGAGAGAGAGAGAGAGAGAGTAACAACTTTGTTAGCCAATTCGTTTAAAAAGCGTCTGGGTACGATCTATGAAGGTAAATTCAATCAAAATTGTACACGAAATGTTGCGCTAACCCCTGAGCAGCCCGAGCAAAAAAAAAACAAGTTTGTAGTTTCTAAAACCATATATAGTCGAAATTGTTGTGCCGTTCGCTCTGTTGTCCAGTCGATGTATGTACCCCTTACTCGTCCTAAGCCTACAAACACTAATAATGCCAGATCTAACCCTTTGCCCCCGAATATGCGTTGTGTTTCGTTCGTTTTTTATTCGTATCTACCTTTCTGGATCGTACCTAAAGGCATGATGCTGCTGCCATTGCCGCTGATGCTGTTGCCCCTGCTGCTGCTGATTCACCTAACAATAATACCAACAACAATCCGAGCTCTGACTAATTAAGCATGTTTGATAATCCAAGTGATAAAAATAAATGTACTGCCGGACTTGGGATCTTTGCTGATCTTTACAGCACACGCCTTTCTTTTAATGCTTTTTGTTTATATGTTCTTTTTAAACGTTTCTTGCACTGTTTTCATGTATTTGTTTTTCATGATAATCAAGATATTAAAACACTTTTGGCCAATGGCTCTAATTGCAGGTACAAACCGAATCCGAGAGCACATCGCCCGACGAAGTTGAGCTTAACTCTGCAACAGAAATATCCACCGATTCAGAGTTCGACAATGACGAGATCATACGGCAGGCACCAAAAATCTTTATTGACGATACACATCTAAGAAAACCCACAAAAGTTCAGGTAAAAAAATCAAAATATACAGTTAGGAATTGAAATTGCAAGTTCGTCGTATCAAAAGTTGAGTCGAACTCAGAGACTATTAGAGCTAGAGATTTACATGTACATATATAGTAACTTATTTCCTCCGATTATTAGAAATCCGGGATCGATTGTTAGCCCCTTTGTTTTTAAAACATAGCTGGTAAAATGTTGGAGCTAGATTTAGGCCCTGCTATAACTAATACAAAACACGAATACTTTACCTTCTTTACTTTCTCCAAAATCTAAAAACTCCACTTTTGGTATATGCACACATTTGAATGCAATCTTAAAGCACAGAAAAATTCAAAATGATCGGAAAATTATCTGAAAAGTAATTGAATATTGAATTTTTGGTGTTGTAAGTACATGTGTAGATGTAGATGTTTTAAAAGATGTTAAATGGTCAGCAATTTATACATATATGCCAATACACTGTAAAAAACTATATCATTGCATTCCAGATCAAGTCCAGTGTGATCACAACCAGTGCATCTGGCCTACATCAGAAGCAGCTGGCGTCGCGCGAAAAGGGCGGTAGTTATTTGCAAAAATACCAGCCGCAGCCAGCGCAGCCACAGTTCAAGCCCCTGGTTCAGGTGGATCCTACACTTCTAATTGGTAGTCAGCGAGCGCCGTTGCAAAATCCACGACCTGGTGACTATCTGCTGAATAAGACGGCCAGCACCGAGGGCATTGCCTCCAAGAAGAGCCTGGAATTAAAAAAACGCTATTTGCTGGGTGAGCCGGCCAATGGCAACAAGATACAAAAGTCAGGCTCCACCTCGGTCCTGGACTCGCGCATACGCAGCTTCCAGTCCAACATCTCCGAGTGCCAGAAGCTTCTGAATCCCAGCAGCGATATCAGTGCGGCTATGCGTAGTTTCCTGGATCGCACCAAGCTGGGCGACAATGCCCAGAATACCCAAAATGAGCTGATGCGTTCGGCTACCAGCAATGTGATCAACGATCTGCGCGTGGAGCTAAAGATTCAGAAGGCTCCGTCGAGCAACTCCACGGATAACGAGAAGGAGAACGTATTTGTCAACAGCAAGAACGAGCTGAACAAGGGCATGGAGTACACGGATGCGGTCAATGCCACGTTAATGGAGCAGCACAACAAGAAAGGATCACCAACAACGCCGACCAATAACAAAACTGTCATCGAGGTGATTGATCTGGTGACACCCGAGAAGCCGGTGCCGTTCATTGATCTCACAGTGTTGGAGACACCAAAGAAAGCTAGCGATGCCAGCACGGAGCTGGTGGAGGTGCCTGCTCAGATCCCAGACAGCAATAAGTTGATTGAGCTGAAGCAGGAGGTCATCAAACCGGATGTATCCATTGATGTAAAAGAGTGCATACCCGATATACTTGGTGATATCAAAGCAGACAAGGAGGCATCCGGCGTGGTCGACTCAGAGGAACAACAATCCCTGCTCTGTCAATCCGACGAGGAAAAGCGCGACTCGCCCGAGAAGTCAAACGATCTGGAGCAGGAGCAGTACGAGCAGGACACACTACAAATCCAAGTGCCCAATATACCATGGACCAAGCCCAAGTCTGAGATCATGTCCACTACTGCCAGCAGCGCCACCAGCTGTTCCAGCTCAGGTAGCTCCAGCATCGAAGATATACAGCATTACATTCTGGAGTCTACGACCAGTCCGGACACGCAAACGGCAGGTGGCAAGCACAACGTTCCGCGTGTGGAAGTGCACGACAGCAGCGGTGCCCTCATGCAGGTGGATAGCCTCATGATTGTGAATGGCAAGTATATTGGAGATCCAGAGGATGTCAAATATCTGGACATGCCAGCTGGCGTCATTGTGCCGCCGGCGCCAGCGATAAAGACAAGCGAGCTGGAGGATGAGCACGAGGTGGATGTTGAGCCGGTGACAGCTACTCCGGAGCCGGCCGAGTGTACAGTTATTGAGGCTGAACGCCAGCCACCCCCATTGCCCGAAATGGGACCACCCAAGCTGAGATTCGACAGCAAAAATGAAAACAAAATCGAAAGCTTGAAGAATCTGCCATTAATTGTAGAACGGAATTTGGAGCACAGCCAGGCCGTAAAGCCAATAACGCTCAATTTGAGCAGCAGCGCGGCAAAGACGCCAGACACGCCAACCACGCCCACACAGCATGATAGCGACAAAACGCCCACAGGTGATATAAACTCCCGCGGATCCGACTCGGAAACCGAGCCCACGGGCACAGGTCAGGTGCTAACCGAAACAGAGCTCTCCGATTGGACGGCTGATGATTGCATCTCGGAGAATTTTGTCGACATGGAGTTCGTGATCAATTCCAACAAAGGCACCATGAAACGGCGCAAGGAGCGTCGTCGCAGCGCGGCAACCAAGCTGCCAAGCAGCAGCGAGGTGCTCCACGAACTGGCCAAGCAGGCGCCGGTTGTCCAAATGGAGGGTATTCTCCACGCCATTGATATTGATGATATTGAGTTCATGGATACCGGCTCTGAGGGCTCCTGCGCCGAGGCCTATTCAGCGACCAACACTGCATTGCTGCACAATCGCGGTTACATGGAGTACATTGAGTCGGTGCCCAAGCAGAAGATCAACATGGAGAAGACACACTCAAAGTCCGTTGGGCAGACTAATCTGCAGTCGCTGGTGACCAAGCGCGATGAGAAGTTAGGCATCGATTACATTGAGCAGGGCGCCTACATAATGCACGATGATGCCAAGACACCGGTCAATGAGGCGCCCCGCCTGCCCAGCAGTACAGCAATGACGCAATCCCTGACAGACTCCAGCACGCTGAATGAACTGGACGAGGACAGTCTAGGCGGCATGATCCAATCACAGACTCAACCCACCATAACCACTACGGAGGAAAGTGAGGCGCTTACTGTGGTCACTAGTCCATTGGACACCTCATCGCCGCAAGTTCTTGATCAGTTCGCCTCGCTGCTGGCCGCGGGCAAGGCGGACACCTCCACGCCAAGTAGCCCCGAGCAGCAACCAAAAACCACACAATCCACAGTCACCACCAACAGTAGTGGCAGCAGCTCCACGCCAGCTGCTGTGCCGGCCAAGGAAACGGATGAGGACATGCAGATCCAATTCGAGTATGTGCGTGCGCTCCAGCAGCGCATCTCACAGATCAGCACACAGCGACGCAAGAGCTCCAAGGGTGAGGCGCCCAATCTGCAGCAGCCAACTGTGATAGAAACTACCAATGTGCTGCAGACGCCAGCAGCAGCAGATGCACAAAGAACTGGCGGCGAGTGCGGCACGGCTGTGAGCATGCGACCCAGGAGCAGCAGCTCAGCGAGCAAAGTACCTGAGATACCAACGCTTAATAGCAAGCTGGAGGAGATCAGCAAGGAGCGCACCAAGCAAAAGGACCTCATACACGATCTTGTCATGGATAAGCTGCAGTCCAAGAAACAGCTTAACGCCGAGAAGCGCCTGCATCGTAGCCGACAGCGCAGCCTCTTGACCAGTGGATATGCCAGCGGCTCCAGCTTAAGTCCAACGCCCAAACTTGCCGCCGCCAGCAGCTCCATCGATGCCAACTGCAGCAGTCAGGCGCACTACCATGTCTCGACGGCAGCCGAACAGCTGCCCAGCCGGCCAGGCTACCAAACAAATGACATGTACAAACAGCCAAATGCGCTACAGAAATCCGCAACTGCCACTTATGTTTCGCCCTACCGTACAGCGCAGCCAGCGACGCGTAGCTCGGACCTCTACAAATCGCGTCCCTTCAGCGAGCATATAGACGCTGAACAATTGAATCTGCTGGAGCGTCATAAGCTCAACAAGACGGCTTCGTTCAGCTACGGCAAGATGGATGAATTTACAACGCCCATTGCGCCAGTGCGTCCGCATCGCAATGGTAATCATGGTCAAAGTCAACGACAAATCGAGCAAGCCGCCGAGGTAAGCATCTCGGCATCCACGGAAAATCTGCGCAGCGAGGCGAGAGCACGTGCACGTCTAAAGTCGAACACAGAACTGGGCCTGAGCCCCGAGGAGAAGATGCAGTTGCTGCGCAAGCGTTTACAATATGATCAGAACAGCGCCATCAAGGCTACGCAGCAGGAGGTACTCTCTAGTGACCTTACAGCCCGTGCTAGAAAAATGAGCGCTTCCAAGAGCGTGAACGATCTGGCCTATATGGTTAGTCACGGCCAACAACAGCAGCTGTGCTTGGACAGCGATGCCGTTCAGCAAGCCAAGGCGGCTGACTTTACCTCGGATCCCAACTTGGCGGCCAGTGCACAAGATAAGACGCTGAAAGTCAAAACCAGCAAAAGGCATAAGGATCCAGAGCGTCGCAAAAGCCTTATACAATCGCTATCCAACTTCTTTCACAAGAGCAACACCCACTCGACAACGGTCTCGGCTTCCGGCAGTCCAAAGGAAATGGGCGGCGCTGTAGCTGCCAGCCACTCTGAGCATGCAGAGCGTCCGGGCACAAGCAGCAGCGGCACGCCCACGATCTCCGACGGAGGCAGCGGCGGTGGTGGCGGCGGCGTCTTCAGTCGCTTCCGCATCTCGCCCAAGTCCAAGGAGAAGTCTAAGGTAAGTAACATCAAAATGTTTCAAATCACATGAAGCTAAATGTGATTAATTGTTGTTCGAGTCCAAAAAAAAAAAAATGCATAAAGTAATTGTACTACATTTAAAATCTTGCCATGACTCATCAACTTGAAGCTTTATATCTATAAGATCTTGGCTGTTAAATACTATTGGTGTGCGGTGTACTATTTATGTCCTTCATTTATGAACTAAACTTTTATCAACATTTTGCAGTCTTGCTTTGATCTGAGGAATTTCGGTTTTGGTGTAAGAACATTTTTACATACTTAATACTAACTAGCACCATTGTCATTTATCTTGAAATTATCATTCATCAGTATTTGATTAAACGTTTGGCATGAGTTTTATGTGTATATTAATTTCAGCAACTTGACTTTTTTACACACGTATTGACTAAAATCCATACTATGTGAAATTCTAAAGTTTTAACTGTTGAAAACTAGAAACAGCGTTCAATTCAGATCGTATTCATTTATGATTGAGTCGACATTTAAGTAATATGTTAAATTTCTCCGCAAGCATATTCATATTTATGTGTCAACTTGATTTGTAAGAATTTGTCACATTCCATATTTAATACCTAACGACAATAATATTGATCAAGTTTCATTTAAATGGCTTTCTTATTATGCATCAATTTTTATTTTATTTACTAACTATGCTTAAAAGCATTTTTTATTTATTTTTTTTCGTTTTCTTTTCACAATTGCAGCTGAAAATATTTAAGTCGTAATTTAAGCTTGCCTGATACCCTTTAAATTTGATTCGTTTTATTTTTTTTTTAGTACATATTTGTTTTTTATTTTGGGTTTTACACATATTGCTGTGTAGGCTGAGATAATTATATTTATATTTTTGACCTAGGATTAAAATGGTTATTATTATGTTTTATTTTTGTTAAATTTTTGGTTAATTAAAATCAATATTAATATTTTCCGATTTATTCTTAAGAATTTTTTAAAGGTTTAGGCTTAGTTATACGGAAGATATTTGGGGCGTTGAAAGATTTTTCATTTTTATAAATATTTAGCTTAAGTTCATGTTGCATGAATTGGTTTTTGGACTTTTGGTGTGGCCCTCCTGGTTACGGTACATATTCCAATTGAGCTCTCCCTGAATACTGCAGCACGCTTGTTTTATAACTTAGTTGTTAATAACATAATAATTGTTTTATAACTGAAAACTGAAAATTGTTTTATTCTTGGAATGTTTCTTTTTCGCCATGGCTGTAAACCCAAAATATACAACACACACATTTAATTTTTAACTAAATACATTTCAATGCAACACAAAATTAGGACAAGGATATGATCACAAACAACGCAACATTGCCAACAAGCACAACACAAACGAAACAATCCCAAGATTACCTCAACACAACGAACAACAGTCGCTACCGAAAGCAAACGAACACCGAATCGTTCTCATCGTCCAGCCCGCAGCTCTATATACACAAGCCCCATCATCTGGCCGCAGCAAATGCCCTGGATGACCAGACTCCGCCACCCATACCGCCTTTGCCACTGAATTATCAAAGATCTGATGGTTTGTTGCTCTCACTTTGACATTTCCTAACTCCTTGTCTATCTGTTCACGTGATAAGATTTAAGAACGAATAACTGTTTATGTATATTTATATATCCTATTTAGATGAGAGCAACGCTAACGAGACACGAGAGCATAAGAAGCAACGTGCCATATCGAAGGCTTCACGACAAGCTGAACTCAAGCGATTGCGAATCGCTCAAGAAATACAGCGCGAACAGGAGGAGATCGAGGTGCAATTAAAGGAATTGGAGGCGCGAGGAGTGCTCATTGAGAAGGCCCTGCGGGGCGAGGCGCACAACTATGAAAAGTGAGTGTAGCAGTAAGACCCAAGCTTAAAGATTATGTCTACAATAAAAAGAATTTTGTTTTAAAGTTTGGATACGAGTAAGGACAATGACGAAAAGCTTTTAAAGGAACTTTTGGAAATTTGGCGCAATATCACAGCACTGAAGTGAGTATGGATTAACCCATGCAAATCCCTGAAAGTCGTCTAACAAAGAACACTTTTATATAGAAAACGTGATGAAGAACTGACTATAAGGCAACAGGAACTGCAACTTGAATATCGACATGCGCAGCTAAAAGAAGAGCTTAACTTACGCTTGTCTTGCAATAGTAAGTTCCAAGCTACATTTTCAAACTGCATTTAGTTAATATATGTGAATTGTTTGTAGAACTGGACAAGAGCTCCGCAGATGTGGCCGCTGAGGGTGCAATACTCAATGAGATGCTGGAAATTGTGGCTAAGCGTGCGGCATTACGACCAACTGCCTCACAGGTGGACCTATCTGCAGCGGGAGCTGCTTCAATGGACGCGGGTATTACACTAACCGGAGAATCCCACGAACAGGGAGAATCGAATGCAAGTCTAAACACACCCGAGCACATTTCCAAGCAAACTAATCGAATTACTTAATACACTTACAGATTTGAATTTTAAACTTGCCTTGGGGCTTACTGGCTTTCGAGTTCTGGCAAGGATTTTTACGCCTAAATACTTAAGCAGAATGTACCAAAAAGCAAAAACTATAACTATAACACAACAAAAAATAACGATGCTAAAAAACGTGAGCTGTAAGATAAACGAGCAAAATAAACACCGAGTGAACACTTTGGTGGAATAGTTTATAAAAACTAAGGATGGTCGCTGAAGATATTTTTCATGAAACGCGCAACATTACTGTAAAAAAACAGAAAACAAAAACTAATTATTTAAACAAAACGTAATCAAAGCTTATGTTCAGTTAGTTTTGAGCATATTATACACAACAATTTTAGTCATTCAATTTGTTGCAGCCCTACAAAACAATTTGATGAACTGTCTGATCTTTGTATGTTGTATTATGTTGTGTAATAAGTTAACTGTGTTACGTAAAAATGTATGTGCAAATTGTTTGTCATTTGTTCAATTATAAATGGTGTATTTGTGTCGACTTGATTATCATATTTTAATTTGTGTGTGCGCGCCTATGTTTCAACATTTTAATCTACTTTTCATTTGTATGAACCATGAGCGTCACTTATTTTTGCATGTAATGTGCTGCCCAAACTAAATCAAAGTGAACACAAAGATTTACACACAAATATTTTCTATACATATTTATATTCATATGTATAAAACGAGCGTATATATAAATATATTGAAGAGCAAAGCAAACGTATATTGTATACTACAAATGATTTAAATTATTATGTAATATTATTTATATTCTTTAATCAACATATTTATCGAATTTATTATGTAATTTTTTGATTTATTTAAAACAATAAAGATTTTATGAATTGTGAGTAACGGATTAATTTAATTTAAGCAACCCACTTCTGACCGGTGTGGCAACTCTACTATCGTGTATGCATTCACAATTAATAAATTTATCGATTATTCTCGTGAGGCCATGAAAATCTTATCCGTGAATGAAATTCGCTGCAAATACCCATCTCTATTAAGAAACCAAAATCCAATAAACGCGGTTTCGCTATATTTGTTAATAGAAATAAACTCTAAAAGTAGCTGTTGTCGTTTGTATAAACTGTAATCTCTTCCTTAAACTGGACAAATATGCCTGAAGAAAGGCTAAGCAAGAATTCGAATGTGCCCGACGGGTCAATTCAAAAAACAGCAAGCAACTCAATCTCGCAGAATAAAAAACAGACACCCTTTGCGTCTGCGCAGCTATCCGCGGATGCAGAGCTGGAAGATGAACCGGCAGGCCAGCCTGCGGCTTACAGTATGCGACCAGCATTTGGCGAATCTTTTCCGTTGCCAATAGTTAAAAGCATTATAAACAGCGTAATGGCTGAAAAACTTAAGGGTGAGTGTGTACAAATCGAACAGCGTCAAAAAAACAAACAAACAAACGTCGCTAAGCAACCCATAATGTTTCAGACAAAATATACGACAAGGACATTGCTAAAATCTGGACGCGTGAAATAGCCGACGAAGTGAATCAGCAGATTGCTGCGAGTCCCAAAGTCAAGCGTTATAAGCACGTAGTGCAGGTGATGATGGGCCAAGAGCTGGGCGCTGGTGCCACCTACTTATCTCGCTGCTGTTGGGATTGCGACTGCGACACGTCCGTTACGGAGGTGTTTAGTAATACGAGCCTGTTTTGCGTGTGCACCGTATTCGGAACGTATCAGTACTGAAGCGGAGCTGGGCAAACAACTGAAGGCTTCAAGCAGTGAGTTTGGTTTAGTCATTTTATATGCTGAATGGCCTAATTAATGGGATTCTTTTCATTACAGCAATTTATAAATACCAAAGCTAGGAACGGGACATATGTAAAGGTATTTTCCTAATTGTAGTAATCTTACATTGGCGCAAGAAAGAGATGAAGATTGCCATTAGGTTTAATCAGCTTCTGGCACCTTGCACTTGCCATATATATACATATATATAGATATGTTATGATTATCTAAGCGCTTGCTTACATATACATACGTAGACAATTTAATTTATAACAAACGCACACAACAATTGTGTTTAGAAAAAGTGAGAATCATTTATAAAAGAAAACAATTGCATTATTTACATTGAAATTGTACAACTTTGCATGTATGTATGTTAGGCATGCACCAGGAAGCGAACATTGCTCCCAACTTCACTTTCAATGATGTCCATTCGTTGACCTTCGTTGTGCACCAGTGCCTGCGGCTCACTGTATGCGCACATTGAGCGGGTTGAGTATGCGGCCCGACATTACCGCCACGTCTAAGTCACGATCGATGATGAAAAACAGAAACGGATGATTAACAGAGATCTGTATGGGTTTCGTTTGGGCGCCAGAGTTGCCTGAGCAAAAAGGAAATAGTTATTGCACATTTTTATTAGTGCTGCTGTTGCTGCAATCGAAGTTGCAGGTGGGGCTGGCTAACACCTCGATCTCTATCTTTATTGCGTTGCGCTTCAATGCGTCGGGGTGTGCTGCAATGCTGCAATACAGCAGCTACTTACGTTTAAGTTGATTGATGGGATGCGTTCGAATGTTGACATCAATCGATTGCTCAATGTGTCGCACATAGACGCCTTTCTCATCAGTCATGGGTCGGAAATCGGCTCGATTCGGCTCGAATATATCACAGCTGCAATGAGAAAGAATTATGCAGAAAGTAAAAGTCCGATCCCAAATGATCCATAAAAGCTGCCCAGTCTGCTTACATGCCCATCTGCAAAACAACAAGTGAAGCAAATGAATAATCTGTTTAGGGATCCTCCATAGTCGCTTACATTTTGCAGATCGTTGGTCAGGAACATGGTGCCATGCAGCTTGAAGTCCGGAATGATAGCCTGCACCCAGCGTGGCTTTAGCTGTTTACGCATCAGACGCAGCGTTGGTCCCAGTTTCAGAGAAGCGGCAGCAGCCACAATGTCCATGTGGTAATCAGGCAGCAGTATCATCAAATTATACTCTGGTGTGTCCAGCTCCAGCTCCAGCACGCTCATCTTCAGATGCTCGAAATATCTGTAATATAGCACCGCATTGTACACTTTGAAGGTGGTGTGCACCACCTGCTGGCTGCCCAGATAAAACACATGGCTAATCACATCCGTATTGTAGTTTGTTTTGGTCTCCGCCCCTCCTTCGCTGATGTAATGCGGCTCAAAGTCGTTGGTGATGTGAGCAAAGGCAGCTGTCGGCGGTATGGGCAGAGGATGCGGTGGTCCATGCGGTGCATGTGGATTGAAGAGCGCCACAAAGAGATTAGCGTCCAGATCCTTATAACCCAAAACGTGCCGCTTATGGCGGGACACATTCGATTTGCGAGCATTTCTTGCCGCCGGCGTTGCTGCAGTTGTGGAAATTAATTGATGTACACCGAACGTTGAAGCTGTCTTCCTTTGCATGGGCGCTGTCATTTGGCGCGCCATCATGGGCATAACAGCAATGCGTGCGCTGGGCAGATAGCTAGGCTTGGGCGTAATGGGATTGGAGTGCTTGAGTGGCGCCTGCAATTTGCTGGTGGGCAGACGTGAGACTCGGGCCTTTTGTATGCGAAGAAACGGTTCGGCGTCCTCTTCAGCTACAAATGCAGACACCAGCTCTGCTGCCTCATCCTCGCCTGCAACTTCAGCTGTAGGCTCAGCAGCTTCGGCAGAGGTGGCAGCTTCAGCTGCTTCAGTCGTGGTGCTTTCTGCTTCTGTTGTAGTTGTTGTCTCCTCTGTTGTAGTTGTGGTTGTCGGCATGATTGTTGGTATGATGGTGGTTACTTCAGTGCTTGTTGTTGTGCTGGGCTGCTCTGTAGTTGTTGTGTCGGTGTCACTGGGCGTGCTGGTCTCAGCCTGCATCTCCTCAGCCGTTGTATTGCTGGCCATTGTGGTATTGGCCATATCTGCATCCGCTGTGACATTCGCTGGCGTCGAGGAAGCCATATCAACACTCAGATCGTAGCCATAAAACATAAGCACAGTCTCAAAATCCTTGAGTACAGTTACATTGCTTCTGCTCAAGCTGAGGCCCTTGAGAGGATTATCGGAACCAAAGAAATATGTCTGAAAATAATTGAGTTACAACAAACAATGCCTATCAAAAGTATCCGTTAAACGACTATTAATTATAAATTCTATTCATGCCAAAAAAAAATTCGGCCACTCATTGCAGATTGTTTGGATTGGATTGGAACGATTGGGGTCAATAAACTTTTGCGAGTGTTTTCAGTCACATTTCGAGCGTCGATAGGTTGATTTGGCCTGGGGCACAATTACATATGATCTATTGATATCAATACACATATATCTGACCTAGAGCGCTGCGACATGGTACGCTTTGTAATTTGTTTTATCAATCAAGTGTAATCCACGCTGGTGGCGGTATGGGGAAGTGGAGTAGAGACCCGAAAGTGTGTTTAACGATGCATATAAATTTCGGTTGGGGAAGCTATAAAGTACGCGTGGGGAAGGGCTCACCCGCAGCCGTCGGTGTATGTCGCGGTAACCGACACGTATGACGTCACGATTGTTGGGCAACTGCAGTACATTGCGCAGCTCTGAGGCGCTCCTGGCTGAGGAGCCCTCATATAGCGCCACCAGCACGCTGACCAGGGCGGTGGGCGAGAACGCAAAGTTATTCCGATTGAGTATGGAATGGTAGTGGAGCAGCCGATGGGTTAGATCGTTGGTCAGATCGACCATGACCTCGGCTGGTGTCAGCTGCCTGGCCAGCACCTGTGGCAGATGCTCCAGTTCCAGCGGCGTTAGCGGCGCTGGTGGCGGCGGTGGATGTGGAAATCCACTCACGCGAAACTCTTCGTGATCGATATGTATATAGTGGGCGTGGCAGGGCAACAACAGCAACAAAAGCCCGGCCAAACGGCATAACAGGCGTGTGGCAGAGGTCATGATAGGTCTGACCTTGCTCAAATTAATATAAATGCACATTGATAATCGCCTTAACTGTTTTTGTTTGATTTTTTTATAATGCCCAACTGCAACTGAAGCATGAAGTCCGTTTAGCAAAAAATGTGGCAAATTCGGTGCGTGCTCATGAATTGCATTATTTTCGCCTCTAATTGGAAATGGTTAACTGGAATTCAAGGTTCTGTAATTTTCCCAACTGTCAATCGTATCGCGTTTCACACATTTTCGCATCCAATTCGCTTTTTTCTCAATTTCTATTTCAATTTTCGGAGCCGTTTGTCCAACTGATTCCCGTGATTGCTGCCGGCAAACTGAAATCGTGGAACGTGCGGCACATGGCTCAAATATCAAATCCGATCGATGTGTTCGGCAGCTGTGACGCTTTCGCGTGATTGTTTCGGAATAACTTGAAGCAACAGATACGTAAGCCATGGTGATTTTTAGTCGTTCCCCACTCTAAACGATATCATCGAGACCTAAAGCATCCTGATTAGCTAAGCAAGGCTATGCTAAGGCTACTTTACACTGTGGAAAATTGACCTTATCGCATTTTCTGACTGCTTTGCCATGCCAATCAAATGTCTACGTATCTTACTTTACTTTTAACACAAATACAGCAAATGTCTGATTAAACAGTCTGTCAGTTCATAGTTATTTTCCACTTGTCACATGATTAATCGCAAGGCTTTAAAGTGCATATTATTAATTGATTTTATTGCACTTCACTTCAGTCGCCTAAAGGCTGCCCAGTTTCAGTAAAAATGTCCTGGGGAAAGCATTTCGTCTACGCGTGGATAACTTATTTTCTAGCATTTTGTGGAATCGGTAGATTCTATTTTGATGTCCGCACTGGCAAAGTGATAAAATCGCCCTATTTGTGCTATTATAGTAGAGTATTTATTCTATTAATTTTATGCACTTTCCCAGTGATGATACAATCTTATGTGTTTAACCCTGCGTGGTTCCATACCGAATCCAAAATAATATCCGTCTGCATTATGGCATATCCTGTCATTTTGTTGATTTCAATATTGAGCTGCATGTTCTGTGTTGAACGCTGGCAGCTCAGGATAATCAGAATGATTGAGGATCTGCTGAAAATGGAGGATTTTCGTATCGGACCGAACTATTGCGCCACACCAGCCGATAAGTCATATCTACATCGGCTATTTTGGTTGAGGTTTATAATTATAATGCCACGAACGGCTGTACTACTTATGCGGATTATCAACAAAAACAGCGATGTTTACTTTTTCTTAAATTCCTTCGTAACAAGAGTTATGAGGGGTGGATTATATTTTCTAGTGTTTAGTCTCAACTGGCAGATATACGTAACATTCTTGAACCTGCAGCTTTGCCTGGAGCATTTATATTTGGCCACTATGCCAATGGCAAGGAAACAAGCCAAACTATTGGAGTTGCATCGGATGTACTATAGACTAATCCACATGATTAACGATTTAAGCCTTATTTTCAAATATCCAATGTTTTGCTGCTTGCTTCAACTGATTTGCAATACCTGCTTAAGTGGCTATCTATTAATTCGTTATATCTTTGGAAAGCCCTCTAAATCCATCGCTTCTAAAACCGATCCAATAGTATTAATTCTATGCATCGTTGATGTATTGGAGTTCTACCTCCATGCCAGTATCGCTCACTTGACTGCTAAACTACATGATAGTACACATCATATATTACGCTACCCATACCCAAACTTAGATCTATTGGAGCGCAGTGTGAGTATAAGTGGCACTTGGGTTAAATCGAAAGTAATTTACAATATTTTAGAATGACTGGCTAGCCCTGCAGCTAACATGGCAGAACAAGAATGTCCACATCTTTGGAGTACTAACCATCAATTTGCGCCTAATCTTTGGAGTTATTATTAGCATTGTACTGCACATTATATACGTGTTACAGAGCGACTACGCCTACATGGCAGTATAAACCTATTTTGCAAACAAATCAACTTTTAATTTATATACTTGAGAAGTGGTATCATATTAAATTGTAGTTTGTAATTCTTTCTCTTACATAGTAATATAATTTGTATATTATAATAGACCAGCGGCATACTGATTCGAAGAGGAACAATAAGATACACTTTCGAGCTCAAGCATATTTAAGTCGCGGATAAAAAAATTCAGAGTAAATGACAGCTCTCATTTCCTATTTGGTTTTTTTTGGTTTTTTTTTCGGCTCGCTACCAACTAATATTAACCGTGGTAAAAAATTCTTAGAGAAAGCACTTGGTCTACGCATGGATCACATATATCTTAGACTTACTATCTTGGATTTACTATAAATTCCTTTACATGTTTAACGAGTTCTGCGTAATTTTCACATATCCTTATATATATATTCATATATACCTGTATCAGTGTTTCGACTGCTGATTGGAAAGCCCTTCACAATATTTAGTTCTACCATAGAATGGCTTATAATACTTGTATTCGTCGGTGATAATCTAGAACTCTACGTCTTGGCCAGCATACCTAACAAGGCGGGTGATCTTCACACAGATTCGGATTTATTGAGTCGTAATGTATGTTCAATTATTTTAATTTGATAATATTTAGGTAAACCAGGTTTAAGGATAATAATTGGTTCAACCAAAAACAAAAACCAAAAAGCGTAGAGCATTCCTGGATCGACATTAAAATGTACACTTAGATGCATTATTCATTATGCATTTCTTTATAGAATAGATATGGATGGGCGGAGAAAATAGACTGTGAAATGCTTTAGACACAGTTAGATTAAGATAAGATTTCCACATTGTCGTTTTACTAATTGATTAATCGCAGTGCACTGCATTCACTAAGTAGCTTGGCTAGTCTTGTTCAAAATGTCCTCGGGAAAGCACTTGGTCTACGCGTGGATTACATATCTCTTCGCATTTTGTGGAATCGCTGGATTCTACTTTGATATTCGCACGGGCAAATTGATAAAGTCACGTGTACTGTGCATTTATAGTAGACTACTCAGTTTATTTATTTTGAGCACTTTCCCAACGATGATTAATATATATTGGATTAAAGCCCCTACGTTTCTTACTCAATCCAAGCTTACAGTCGTCTTAATAATTGCTTATCCTACTAGCTCCTTGATTACGGTATTAAGCTGTATATTCTGTGTAAATCGGTGGCAGCACAGGATATTCAAGTTGATGGAGGATCTGCTGAAAATGGAGGAGTTTGCCATCGAACCCAACTATTCCATCACACCATCTCAGCAGCCATATCTAAGACGGCTTTTCTGGATCAGATTTTTGCTACTTATGGGGGAAGATGTCGTATTTATTCTACGGATGCTTCTCGTCAGAGTGGATTTTTCTTTTATTATAGCGTTCTTGTAGCTAGAGTTATGAAAGGAGGACTGTATTTCCTGCTATTTAATCTCATCTGGCAAATAAGTTATACATTCATGAAACTTCAGATTTACCTAGAAAATTTACTTTTTCGACCTATGCCAATGTCAAGGAAACAAAGCAAACTACTGGAGTTGTATCGGATTTACTATAGGCTAGTCCATATGATAAACGAGTTGTGCATAATCTTCAAATATCCGCTGGCTTGTTGTTTGCTCAAATTAACTTGCAATTCCTGTTTGAGTGGATATACACTTTTTCGACTGCTGTTTGGAAAGCCCATGAAATCTTTCACCCCTAAAACTGATTGGCTTATATTAACTTTAAGCGTCAGCGATGCATTCGAACTCTACATCCTGGCCAGCATTGCCCACACGGCTGGTGATCTTCATGATAGTACTTTTCACATTTTACGCTATCCTTACTTTGATTTGGATCTGTTGGAACGCAACGTATGTTATTCATGCGAATTATTCGTTTGTGTCAATATTTTAATGATTTACCTATTTCAGAATGACTGGCTAGCTCTGCAGCTAATATGGCAAAATAAGAACATCAACGTGTTTGGTGTACTAAACATTAATCTTCGCCTCGTTTTTATATTTATAACTAACATCGTACTAAATATTATATACATGATACAGAGTGACTACGGCTATTTATCAATATGAACTCCTTTCGAATACTTCTAAAATCTTCGTTTCTGTGTTAATATTACTACAAGAATTCTTATATAATAAACACGCTGGTATTATAATATATTTCACATGGATAAACCAAATATGTTTTACACCTGTTCGGTTCATTATCAATGATCGTTATGACAATCAACAGCGAACATAGAGTCCCAAGATCGTTACAAATACTACGACGAGATTGCCCACGGCGTCTCCTCGAAGAAACGCGGGGAGATTGTTGAGCGCGCCCAGCAGCTCTCCGTGCGTCTGATGAGCCCCAACAGTCGTCTGTGTTCCCACGAATAAGCTTAAGTTTGGTATTCGCTTAAATGAGTTTTCTTTTTAGTTTGAAGCTTTAACCCTTTAACTATATTAAGTTGAAACCAGTAAGAGGCTCCAGTTGGGAGCTGCCGACTAGGAGATACCCTGAACCCTCTTCTTTTAAAACCTAATGCAACTCACGTTGCGCGTTCGCTTGCTTTAAAAATAGTTTCCTCAATTGTAAGCCGTATACTGAGTAGATCATGGCTAAGTTCTTATACCCTTAAGCAGCCGTGTCAATATAGCAATGTCCATTCGACTTATAGTATCCTGATATTCGTCCTTTTGTTGCAGGAAGTAAGTATATCAAAGCGGAAGGTATCGGAGCCCCTTATTATACAGTATCAAGATCACACCACTATACTATATAGCTGGACAGGCAAAGGGTTATTTCTTAACAGTATATCTTGACCCAACTAAACAATAACTGGAAAGAGTAGTCAACCTTCGGAGTGCTTGTTTTGTGTTGATTTAGTTAGATTACAAGAGCTGTCAGTTTCTATTTATTTATTTAATTCTTTTAAATGTCCTTTTCTAATGGACTTGATGCACTTCATTGAATTCACCTTAAGGCTTGTTAGTCGTGGTTAAAATGTCCTCGAGAAAACACGTCGTCTACGCATGGATAACATATATCTTAGCATTTTGTGGAATCGCTGGATTCTACTTTGATATCCATACTGGCAGAGTGATAAAATCGCGTGTATTGTCCTACTACGGCCGTTTTTTTAGTCTGCTTATTTTGGTCATCACACCCATGACAATATATACATATGCGATTAACACGCCGTTGAATCTAACTCAAAACAAGCTTATGAATCTCTTGATTGCCACATATCCCTCCGTTATGTTGGCTTCCATTGTAAGTTGTATGTTCTGTGTACAACGGTGGCAGCACAGGATCATCAAGTTGATTGAGGATCTGCTGAGAATGGAGGAGCTTAGCATCGAACCTAACTATTCCGTCACACCATCTCAGCAGCCTTATCTGAGACGGCTTTTCTGGATCAAACTATGTCTTGTAATACAACGATTAGTAATATTATTTGTATATTATATATTTGCCCAAGACAAAGACACAATATTTAATTTAACCGTTTCACTCTTTCGAATCATGAGGTGTGGATTTTATTTCCTAATGTTTAATATAATATGGCAAATTAGCTTAACCTTCTTAAAACTGCAGCTTTACCTCGAGCAATTACTTTTTGATATAATGCCGATGGCAAAGAAAATAAATAAAATACTCAAAGGTCAACGGATGTATTACAGACTTATTCGGATGATTAATGAACTATGTACCATTTTCAAGTATCCTCTATTTTTTTACCTGATTTATCTTGTTTATATATATGGCTTAAGTGGATACACATTAATTCAAATGCTATTTGGGAAAAAGTTATACATATGGCTCCCAACCATGAAACTTTTGCATATTTTGATAACTATTATTGAGGCAATGGAATTTTACATATTGGTCCGTATTGCTCATATGGCCAATACCCTTCATGAGCATACATTTTACATTTTACGCTACCCTTACCTCAATTCGGATCTAGTGGAGAAAAGTGTGAGTAAATATCTCCATTTATGTCTTATATTTTTATCACTTGACTATTTTAGAATGAATGGTTTTCCCTCCAGCTAACCCGGCAAAATAAGAACGTCCACATTTTTGGCGTATTTATCATTAACTATCAATTAGTCTTTCTGGTTTTTACTAGCATCGCACTTCATATTATATACATGGTACAGACTGACTACTACTTTTTGGAAATATAATATGCAATTGTCCAGATTGATGATTGTGAAAATAAACATGCATACTAATTCTAACTTGTTATTGATTTTAATAGCACAGACTTAAAGATAATAGAATTATTGGTTCAAGCAAAAACAAAATATTAATAAAATTATTTAAAGAAAAAGCGAAGAGAATTCCTTTGCGTTTCTTATACAATAGATTGGAATGGGCGACGATAATAGACGGAGAAATGCTTTAGACAATGTTTATACCCTGAACCCATTAAAAATGGGTATAAGGGTATATTGTATTTGTGCAAAATCAAAATGTATGTAACAGACAGAAGGAAGCATCTCCGACCCTATAAAGTATATATATTCTTGATCAGCACCAATAGCCGAGTCGATCTAGCCATGTCCGTCTGCCTGTCCGTCCGTCCGTCCGTATGTATGAACGCAAGGATCTCAGAGCCTATAAGAGCTAGAGACTTTTAGATGTAGGTGCTCCTAGTGCCTGCGCAGATCGAGTTTGTTTGCGATAATCGATAACTTACTTCGTTTCCAAGCTATCGATAAAAATCGATATCGATATCCTGTTTTTTGGGCAATTTTGGTAAATAATAAGAGCTAGCGTCACGAAACATGATATGTTGCTTATAAAATACAATATATATGCATTTGATGTTGGAAGAAGAGGGTTCAGGGTATCCCCTAGTCGGGAGCTCCCGAGTAGAACCTCTTACTTGTTTGTTATATGAAGTAAGTATATCAGAACCGACCGGATCGGCCTCATATCATACTACCATATTATGTAGCTCTATAGGAAAAATTGTTTAAAACATAGTTTCTGTATTGCAAAGGGGTATCGTATATATCTTAACCTAACTCAACAATTACGAGCAAAAGTAGTCAACCTTCGGAGTGCCTATTATGTGCTGATTTAATTAGATTACAAGAGCTGTCAGTTTCTATTTATTTATTTAATTCTTTTAAATGTCCCTTTCTAATGGACTTGATGCACTTCATTGAATTCACCTTAAGGCTTGTTAGTCGTGGTTAAAATGTCCTCGAGAAAACACGTCGTCTACGCATGGATAACATATATCTTAGCATTTTGTGGAATCGCTGGATTCTACTTTGATATCCATACTGGCAGAGTGATAAAATCGCGTATATTGTCCTACTACGGCCGTTTTTTTAGTCTGCTTATTTTGGTCATCACACCCATGACAATATATACATATGCGATTAACACGCCGTTGAATCTAACTCAATACAAGCTTATGAATCTCTTGATTGCCACATATCCCTCCGTTATGTTGGCTTCCATTGTAAGTTGTATGTTCTGTGTACAACGGTGGCAGCACAGGATCATCAAGTTGATTGAGGATCTGCTGAGAATGGAGGAGCTTAGCATCGAACCTAACTATTCCGTCACACCATCTCAGCAGCCATATCTGCGACGGCTTTTCTGGATCAAACTATGTCTTGTAATACAACGATTAGTAATATTATTCGTACTGATTATTATCCAAGACAAAGACACAATATTTTATTTCACCGCTTTACTTTCACGAATCATGAGGAGTGGATTTTTTTTCCTAATCTTTAATTTAAATTTGCAAATTTGCCTTACTTTCTTAAAACTGCAGCTTTACTTCGAGCAATTACTTTTTGAAATAATGCCAATGAGAAAGAAAATACAGAAAATACTGGAATGTCAGCGAATGTATTACAGATTAATCCGTATAATTAATGAACTATGTACCATTTTTAAGTACCCTCTATTTTTGTACCTAATCTATCTTATTTATGTTTATGGTTTATGTGGATACTCATTAATTCAAATGCTGTTTGGAAAAAAGTTAAATACATGGCACCGTACCATGAAACTTTTGCTTATTTTGATAACTATTATTGAGGCAATGGAATTTTACATATTGGTCAGTATTGCTCATATGGCCAATACCCTTCATGAGCATACATTTTACATTTTGCGCTACCCTTACCTCAATTCGGATCTAGTGGAAAAAAGTGTGAGTAAATATCTCCATTTATGTCTTATATTTTTATCACTTGACTATTTTAGAATGAATGGTTTTCTCTCCAGCTAACACGGGAAAATAAAAACTTCCACATTTTGGGCGTCTTTATTATAAACCATCAATTAGTCTTTCAAATATTTACTGGCACCTTGCTTCATATTATATACATGGTACAGACTGACTACTTCTATTTGGAAATATAATGTGAAATACTTCAGATTGAGGATTTTGAAAATACACACAATGCATACTAATTTGTAGCCACAATTATTCAAATTTGTTATTATTTTGATAACACAGATTAGAGGATAATAATATGGATAATAGTTCAAGCAAAAAATATATTAATTAAAATATTACAAAAAAAAATAACAAAGAGAATTCCTTGAGCGACATTATAATATACATTCAGAAACATTTTTGCATTTTGCATTTCCTCGTACAATAGATTAGGATGGGCGAAGAAAAGAGACTGGGAATTGCCTAAGACAATTTATTATTATGCCTGTGTCATTCAAATTGAGATAAGATTTCCACATTGTCGTACGATTTTAACAAGTCAATTGAAGGCGTTTTACTAATTGATTAATCGTATAACTTCCTTGATTGATTGAATAATTTTTGTCCCTTGGAAGATCCAGCGGGTGTACTCTCTTGAGTCTTCTGGTGGTGTTGCTGTTGTTCAGCAGGCCAACTGCTAAGTCGTCGTTGTGCAGGTGGAGCCTATGCACCTGCCCAACTATTTGCTGCTGCTTTTGGCTATCTCGTCACGGACCCATGGGATCTTGAGAACACTGTGGATGTAAGCGTTGTCATGGTAAATATGTACATTGGAAACGATGCGCAGTGCCTTGTTTTCAAATATCTGAATCAATCTTAGTTTGCTTGGGCTGGCAGTGCCCCATAACTGAATGCCGTAAGTCCAAATCGGTTTGCTAATTGCCTTGTAGAGAAGGAGCTTTGACCGAGTTCTCAGCTTGGACTTACGGCCAATAAGCCATAATACGATTTAAGCTTGACTTCCACATGTTTTCTTTTCTTTAAAAGTAGAGTTCTCCAAGTCAGCCCCTTCTGCTATTACAGCTCTGCCTAGAAAGGCATTTGGGCCTAAGAGAGAAAGGGACTTTTCGCTGTTCACCATGATGTTCAATCTCCTCTGGCATTCGTTGAGTGTGTCCAATTGGCCTTATGTCACCTGAGAAGCCTCTTCAGCTGTCTCAGCAGTGGCGAGGAATGCCGTGTCATCAGCATTTATGGCCACTAGAATGTAAGGGTTCTCAGTAACAGAAAGGTCTGTATCATAGATGTTGCATAGTAGGGGACACAGCACGCTGCCTTGACTCTCCACATTTAACCTGGAACTGCCTGTCTCACAACCATGAGGAGAAGTAGGAGGAGAAGTGGCTGCAGTAGGTTGCTCCTGATTTTGAGTAAGTGTAAGAGTACCAATACTAACTGTTTGAAATATTTTGTGGCGATAAATCAATGTATATTAGAGCGGTAGAAAGTTTTGGCGCAGTTTTCTCAAAACTTTAACCGAACACAACCAAATTCGAATGACCCATCGACCTTTCGCTTGCACCTTCTAAGATTATCACAGTTCAAGTCGCAAATAAAAAATGCACAGAAAATGTCAACTGTCATTTCCTTTTTGATTTTCTTTTGCCCCGCGCCATAAACATAGCTTTTAAATGTGCTTTACTAATTGATTATGTGGTGGCAGTAACCTAGGGGCTTTTTAGTCTTGGTAAAAATGTCCTCGAGCAAGCACTTGGTCTTCGCGTGGATATCATATATCTTAGCGTTATGTGGAATTACTGGATTCTACTTTGATATTCGCACGGGCAGAGTGATTAAGTCGCGTGTCTTGTGCTATTATAACAGACTATTTAGTCTTCTTATTTTTAGCACTTGTCCAGCGATGATATATTTGTATTTGATGAAAATCCCGCTGGTCCCTACTTAATCCAAGCTAATGTATATCTTAATAACCGCATATCCTGGTACGTTGTTGACAACAGTATTGAGCTGTTTATTCTGTGTACAACGCTGGCAGCATAAAATATTCAAGATGATTGAAGATCTGCTGAAAATTGAGGAGCTAGGAGTCGAACCCAACTATTGCATCACACCATCAGAGAAGTCACGCCTCAAACAGCTGTTCGGGATCAGGTTAATTGTACTAATGCCAGTAGTTGTTACATTTTTTTCACAGCTGATAATGGGAAAGATGAGTTTTTTGTTTTATATTGGCATCTTTGTGGCTAGATCTTTTAAGAATGGATTATATTTCCTAATGTTTAGCATAGTCTGGCAGATATGCTATTTATTCCTAAAACTGCAGCTATACCTGGAGCATTTGTTTCTTGATCCAATGCCAACGTCAGGGAAAGTTAACAAAATTATAGAAGTACAACGAATGTACTATAAGCTCCTTTGCATGGTTAACGAGTTGTGCGTAATATTCAAATATCCGATGGCCTGCGGCTTGTTCCAATTGGTTTGCAATACCTGTATGAATGGATATTCAGTGTTTCGACTGCTGTTTGGAAAGCCCTTCACAATATTTAATTCTACCATGGAATGGCTTATAATACTTGTATTCGTCGGTGAAGCTCTAGAACTCTACGTCTTTGCCAGCATAGCTAACAAGGCGGGTGATCTTCATACAAGTACATTTTATGCTTTACGCTACACTTGCCCAGATTCGGATTTATTGGATCGTAAAGTATGTTCATCGTTTTATATTTGTGCTACATTTTTGACAACTTATTTCTCGTAGAATGACTGGTTCGCCCTGCAGCTAACATGGCAACCAAAGAACATCCACATATTTGGCGTAATAAGCATCAATCTACATTTTGTATTTCTAGTCTTAACCAGCTCCTTACTTCATATTATATACATGGTACAGAGTGACTACCACTATTTGGAAATTTAAAGTGAAATACTTTGATATCAAATTATGGGAATACAAAATAATGAATATTAATAATGTAACCACAAATATTTTATTTTGATATTATTTAAGTAAACAAGGATTAAGGATAAGAATTGGTTCAACCAAAAACAAAAACCAAAAGCGTAGAGCATTCCTGGATCGACATTAAAATGTACACTTAGATGTATTATTCATTATGCATTTCTTTATAGAATAGACACGGATGGGCGGAGAAAATAGACAATGCATTGGACAATTTAGTATTAGACAGAAAATGTCAGTTAGATTAAGATAAGATTTCCACATTGTCGTTTTACTAATTGATTAATCGCAGTGCACTGCATTCACTAAGTAGCTTGGCTAGTCTTGTTCAAAATGTCCTCGGGAAAGCACTTGGTCTACGCGTGGATTACATATCTCTTCGCATTTTGTGGAATCGCTGGATTCTACTTTGATATTCGCACGGGCAAATTGATAAAGTCACGTGTACTGTGCATTTATAGTAGACTACTCAGTTTATTTATTTTGAGCACTTTCCCAACGATGATTAATATATATTGGATTAAAGCCCCTACGTTTCTTACTCAATCCAAGCTTACAGTCGTCTTAATAATTGCTTATCCTACTAGCTCCTTGATTACGGTATTAAGCTGTATTTTCTGTGTAAATCGGTGGCAGCACAGGATATTCAAGTTGATGGAGGATCTGCTGAAAATGGAGGAGTTTGCCATCGAACCCAACTATTCCATCACACCATCTCAGCAGCCATATCTAAGACGGCTTTTCTGGATCAGATTTTTGCTACTTATGGGGGAAGATGTCGTATTTATTCTACGGATGCTTCTCGGTCAGAGTGGATTTTTCTTTTATTATAGCGTTCTTGTAGCTAGAGTTATGAAAGGAGGACTGTATTTCCTGCTATTTAATCTCATCTGGCAAATAAGTTATACATTCATGAAACTTCAGACTTACCTAGAAAATTTACTTTTTCAACCTATGCCAATGTCAAGGAAGCAAACCAAACTACTGGAGTTACATCGGATGTACTGTAGGCTAGTCCATATGATAAACGAGTTGTGCATAATCTTCAAATATCCGCTGGCTTGTTGTTTGCTCAAATTAACTTGCAATTCCTGTTTGAGTGGATATACACTTTTTCGACTGCTGTTTGGAAAGCCCATGAAATCGTTCGCCCCTAAAACTGATTGGCTTATATTAACTTTAAGCGTCAGCGATGCATTGGAACTCTACATCCTGGCTAGCATAGCCAACACGGCTGGTGATCTTCATGATAGTACTTTTCACATTTTACGCTATCCTTACTTTGATTTGGATCTGTTGGAACGCAGTGTATGTTCATCATTTCAATTATGTGTTATTAGTTAAATGATTTACCCATTTCAGAATGACTGGCTGGCTCTGCAGCTAATATGGCAAAATAAGAACATCCACATCTTTGGTGTACTTAACATTAATCTTCGCCTCGTTTTTATATTTATAACTAGCATGGTACTTCATATTATATATATGATACAGAGCGACTACGACTATTTGTCAATATGAATTTCATTTGAAAACTACTAACATTATAATTTTTGTGCTTATGATCCTGCAGAAAAGTTTATATAATAAACTAGCTGGTATTTCCCGGCGTTGCACGGTTAAAGTTTTTGTCTTCAAATTTGTTCAGTTAGATGTCAATGTTAGTTATAACAGCCAACATCAAGCAGGCATAATCACTTGAGGTGAGAAGGTGTTTTGCATAGCTAAAGATCCACCTGGTTCTATAAACAGTAGACTTAGCTACCGACTCTAGGTATGCAAGTCCTTGGCCCCAGTTCAAAGCTATAGCACATTGAGAATTATAGGCAACGTAGATATTTGCCATACCATTAAAGTACGACCATCGGATTAAACTATTCGTGAAATTATGAAATTTTTAAGTTGCGGATTGATATGTAAATCGGGGCTAAGTCCTTAGACCGTTAAACGTCGCGTCGATGTCAACAATCAACAATTACGAACAATTGTAGTCAACCTACTTAGTGAATGTTCTGTGCTGATTTAGAAAGATTAGCAGAGCTGTCAGTTTCTATTTATTTACTTAATTCTTTTAAATGTCCCTTGCTAATGGACTTGATGCACTTCATTGAATTCTTTAGTCGTGGTTAAAATGTCCTCGAGAAAACACGTCGTCTACGCATGGATGACATATATCTTAGCATTTTGTGGAATTGCTGGATTCTACTTTGATATCCATACTGGCAGAGTGATAAAATCGCGTATATTGTCCTACTACGGCCGTTTTTTTAGTCTGCTTATTTTGATCATTACACCCAAGACGATAAATACATATGCGATTAACACGCCGTTCAATCGAACTGAATACAAGCCTATTAGTCTGTTGATTGACACATATCCCTTCGTTATATTGGCTTCGACAGTAAGTTGTACGTTCTGTGTGCAACGGTGGCAGCACAGGATCATCAAGTTGATTGAGGATCTGCTGAGAATGGAGGAGCTTAGCATCGAACCTAACTATTCCGTCACACCATCTCAGCAGCCATATCTGCGACGGCTTTTCTGGATCAAAATATTTCTAGTAATACAACGATTAGTAATATTATTCATACTTATATTCATCCAAGGCAAAGACATAATATTTATTTTAACCGCTTCACTCTCACGAATCATGAGAAGTGGCTTTTATTTACTAATCTTTAATTTTATTTGGGAAATTTGCCTGACCTTCTTAAAACTGCAGATTTACCTCGAGCAATTACTTTTTGATATAATGCCAATGAGAAAGAAAATACAGAAAGTACTCGAATGTCAGCGAATGTATTACAGACTAATTCGGATGATTAATGAACTATGTACAATTTTTAAGTATCCTCTATTTTTGTACCTGATCTATCTTGTTCACTATTATGCACTGAGTGGATACACATTAATTCAAATGCTGTTTGGAAAAAAGTTAAGTGCACCGTCCCGTAACATGAATCTTATTTTTATATATACAACCATTATTGAGGCAGCGGAATTCTACATCTTGGTCAGTATTGCTCATATGGCCAATACCCTTCATGAGCATACTTTTTACGTTTTACGCTATCCTTACCCTGATTTGGATCTCTTGGAGAGAAGTGTGAGTAAATCTCTTCTTTTATGTCTTATATATTTTATCACTTGACTATTCTAGAATGATTGGTTTGCCCTCCAGCTAACCTGGCAAAATAAGAACGTGCACATTTTTGGCATATTTATCGTAAGCCGTCAATTAGTCTTTCTTGTTTTTACTAGCATCGTACTGCATATTATATACATGGTACAAAGCGACTACAATATATTGCGAATATAATATTAACTTAGATTTCATTTCTTGTAGAAAAACAAATAAGATATTCTTTAAAGGAAATTGTATCTGTTAATGAGAGTTTTAGTGTTTCAGTTATTTTGGAAAACAATGGTAATCTACATGTTATATGGTGTTTCAGCTATCCTAGAAAACTATTTCTTTAATGAAAATTCTATCTACAATTTGCATGGTTTCCAGAACCAGCCAGATCCCTCAGAGTATTGGCCAAAGCATCGTCTACTGCAAAAGGGAGTTTATAAAAAAGCCAGAGAAGTGGAATGGACTATCCACAAAGAAGAATGACCTCGAATGGTGTCTAGACGTGGGTCTTTATGTAAGTCCCCTGAAGGCGATTATTGTTCCCTTCTCAAAAAAGGAACAAGGTCCGATATTGGAACGATATATAGGCAGGATATTAAACTTGGGTTATAGAAGACGATGGTCAGATCGGAGAATGACTAGTTAGCACTGTTGCTAACATGCAAGATACGAAAGTAAATATTTAAAGTATTTACTATCAATCATTTATTATTTAGAAAAAGGTAGTTGTAACATGGTCACAAGTTTTTTTTTAGATCTTTTATATTCTGATGCTTATTTATATCTACGCTTAGCTACTTTTCAAAAATCCTGTGAACCACTGATATTTTCCGATTGCTTGTTTTAAATCATAACTCTTCTCGATATCGATATCGAATCGATGGTTCCTATCGGCAGCATACTTGTTTAACAGATGCAACGCTTAATGTGCTGTGCAGCCCTTATTTAATATCGTACACGATTTTCGATATTCGATTAACGACAATCGAATGGACAACGACCACCCCTGATGCAGCTCTGCACGTTCTGCAGCCCTGGAAAACCACGCCAGTCATTTTTGTTTTGATAAGGATAAAAAAGAGCGTGGCCTGAGAAAATTTGCACAAATCACACAAAAAGCGCCACAAACAATTGCAAAAACGTTGCAAAGTGTGTGGAATGTTGTGCCGCGCAAAGTGTACACCATATTGAGCGCCACAGCGCATACGTGGAACGCAACGTGTGGCCGTTGGCAAAGCAGCAGCCGCGACTGAAACGAGCAGACATCTAAAATAACAAACCGACGGGGTGCTTGTGCAAATGGCTGCTACTTTTCGACTTAATTGTATAACGTTACCTTCATGAGCAGACAATAAAATAACAAAGCTGACGCTCGCGCAGACGATTTTCTCGAATACCTGAAAGGGCGCGACTCAATTAACGAAAGCAAGCAAGTACAATGCATTTGAACCATGCGACGGCCGCGACAGCTGCTATGGCCAACTATCAGCACTATGCGCCTTCACAGCTTGCCACGCATAGCGTTGGTGGCGGTGGTGGCGGAGGCGGTGGTGGTGGCGGGGGCGGCGGTGGATCCGGTGGCGGCGGCATCGGTCCGAACAGTTTACAACAGCCAACGACTATTGCGAGCCTGCAGCAGAGCCCGTTTGCGCTGCATCAATTGACCGCCGTGCAGGCCATACAGCATCCCACCCATCAAGCCATGCTACATCCACAGCATCCGCTTGTCCACCTGCTTGATATCTCGACAACTACAACGAACAGCGGTGGCAATCACACGCCCATATCGCCCATGAAACAGGAGGTACAGAGCGTCATTAGCGAGGATGAGTCTGTGGTGGACGATCCGCGCAAGAAGAAACAATGCCACGTGTGCAAAAACAAGTTCCGGCAGCTGACCACGTTACGCAATCATATGAAAATACACACAGACGAACGTCCCTATAAGTGCAAGCACTGTGACAAGGCCTTCCGCCAGATATCGACGCTGACAAACCATGTGAAGATCCACACAGGCGAGAAACCGTTTACGTGCAATATTTGCGCCAAGGATTTTCGCCAGCAGAGCACGCTCATAAATCACATCAAGACGCATAAGGGTAAGTGCGGGACAACTACATCATCTTGATATAAATATATGTATTTGTATAAGAGACATGTGTAGCAGCAATAACTATAACTGCAATTTTTGATTTTAATACAACTCCAAACACACACCCACACACACACACACAAACTCATGCAATTGCAGCGGCTGAGTCAAGCACGCCGACGTCGCTACTCAACTACCAGCCGCCGTCCTCATCCGGCAAGCATAGCCGTAAATCGCAGTCGAATCAGATGCACAACGCCTACCAGCAGCAGCATCAGCAGCAGCGTGTACAAATCTCAAAGACTCTATACTCGGGCACCTATAGCTCACCACAGGCGGAGGAATTGGTGAAACCGTATCAGTGCAGTGTGTGCAAGCGTCGCTTCCCGCAGCTGAGCACGCTGCACAATCACGAGCGGACGCACATCGATCCTAAGCCGTACAAGTGCGAGACTTGCGATAAGTCCTTCAGCCAGCTGGCAACATTGGCCAATCACAAAAAGATACACACCGGCGATAAGCCATACACGTGTTCCTACTGCCACATGCAGTTCCGGCAGCAGAGCACGCTCACCAACCACATGAAGACGCACACACATCTCGCCAGCCAGCCAGCCACAGTCACAGCCACAGGTGAGCCGCTTGTGTGTTCGCCCTACAACTGAGCCGCTTTCTGTTATCACTGTGTGCATTGATCATTAACGCACTTCCCTAACGAAGCTTTTATTTAAATTTTGTACGCATGCCAACCAATCAACAACCACAACACCCCCAACAACAACAACAACGATCAACAACCAACTGAACTGTACGGTTAACCGAACTATCTATCTATCAACCAATACCATCCATGCAACAATCAATACACATGCGGACTTTTAGTGGATCACTCAACCATGCCAGCGCCCCTCGCACCCGGCACGCAGCAGCTGACGAGCGGCTTGCTGCCCAACAACCTGCACAGCACAACGCCCAACATCCTCCAGCTGGACCATCATCCTCTGCTACACTTTCTCGATGGCAGCACGACCGTGAGTTCTGTGGTTGCCAGCAATGTAGCAGCGGCAGCGGCGGCCAATACTAAAGTCGAACACTACCAGAATGCTCAGGGTGCTCGATTAAATGTAGGCAATATAAATATGCTGAAAGGCGACAATCCGGATCGGCCTTTTGGGTGTAGCGTCTGTCGGCGCTTCTTCTCCCAGCAGAGCACCCTGGTCAATCACATCAAAACGCATACGGGCGAGAAGCCGTATAAGTGCAAGATCTGTGAGGTTAGTTTCCGGCAAGTGGCCACGCTCAATAACCACATGAAGATCCACACCGGAGAGAAGCCCTATAACTGTTCCTACTGTCCCAAACAGTTCCGGCAAAAGAGCACGCTACAAAATCATTTGCGGGTCCACACGTGCTAGACTATCTTCGGCCAGTGAACGCGTCGTAGCCCCAAGCCCTAGCCCGAGCCCGCTCGCCCGTATGTCTGTCAGCCAGTCAAGTAGCCATTGAGGAATCGTGCAATATGCATAAGCGCATACAGTTATACTAGATACAGATCGGATATAAACATAAGTACATAAAGTACGTACATACATTAAATACATACAAACATGCATAAAAACAAACATTTACATATATGTACACATATATATTTGAATATATACTCGAAAAGTGTTATTTACCTGCTGTGCAGAGCGCAATTGTATGTAAACTATAGTAGAGCTGATCCACATGCATGTCCAACTGTAAGTTAAGTCTAGCCGTACTCGTACATACATATTTGTACATGCATATATATATATATATAGCTGTGTGTATTCATATACACACACAACAATAATACACACACATAATACAGGGTGTTTAAACCTAAACAAAACTAAACTCTAATCTAATCCTACTTATTAGCTTCTTAACTGTTGTCACCTACCCTCCCATACCAGCCCATACACCGTTTTAGTTGCAGGACCGAGAGACCTTGATTCTCAGCTTCTCGTCGTGTTAAATGTTAAGCCGAACGTAATATATATATAATGAAAAAAAAATCTAGTTATTGCTACTATACTGTGTAATCCCCCCCTCCCATTCGCCATCCCGCTAAGTGTAAGGCGTAATTAGAAAACAAAAACAAACAGAAACTATTTAAATAAGTGTACTCTTAGCGCATATTTAGCAGCATCTTTTACTCACATGACTAAACCGGAACGATGATCAACATCGAACATCATAGAGTTAGCAGTCGCAGTCGCAATCGCGTTAATAAATCCCCAAAACCGGATTGCTTATAGAACAAAACGTAGTAAACGGAGAGACAAGAGTCCCCATAATAAGTGAAAAATTGTAAAACAGCTAAATTGAAAATGAGAATGACCGTAAATGTTGTAGAAAATATATAGTATATATATAAATATATATAAACTATTTGTAATTGTAAGCAAAAACAATAAAACGAATAAAAGCAAAAAAAAAAACTAAGTATATTGCTGTGAGTGAAAGAATGAAATGAATATCCAATGCTCTAGAAGAAAAAATGTCATGTTCTTAAATTTTAATACTCAAATAACTGACAGCAACCTCCCTTAATTAGCCACAATCTAACTCTGTATGTCCCTTTCCTCAAACGACTCAATTAATTTACCTTCAATTATAATTTGTAAAACTCACCCTCTGTGACTGTTCTTCAGTTAGAACAATTTTGGAAATGAAAGGAAAGAAATGTGTCAAATGTTTATTTCAAGTTAAATATTTAAAAGTGTTCTTCAAGTTGTACAATTTGTGTTTGCTTAATGAAAAAAGTGTATTGTGTGTGAAAACTACACTAAATTTATTACAAGCACTTTAGCATTTAACTTCTAAATGGTTACGAGTGTTGCACGGTGTCCTTGTCAATGAGAAAGCCTCTCAAGCAGCTCCTTCAAATGATCCTATATATATATATATTGTTTTGTGAGAACTAGTGTGTATATATATTTGTATATGCATTTGCTTTGATACAGGAATTGGTTAGATTTTTAGTGTCAGCGACATGGAATTGTTACGAAATATGGTGCGACTGTTAGTTGGATATACTCCATTCTTTATAAAACGCTTTAGTCTAAACGTATCTGAATGATACCAGATTTTCAACAATTGTGGCCGCACTAGCTATTAGATGGGTTTAAATTTAGACTAATATAATTCGTGATTGACTCTAGACGCGCACTAAAACAGCGAATCTGGTTCTTTGGCTGGATGCCAAGGCATTCTGAGTGGGACAGAATATAGTACAATAGAGGAGGTATGGTTATAGATTTAGAATAATATGGGTTGTATATATAAACTATATATAAATATATGTAGCTCAATAATTTGACTTAAATGTATACAGATTAACCAATAGAACTATTTGAACAGCCAACGCAGAATCAAGCTGACCATGAGCCCAATTAGTGCATAAATTAGCGACTTGATCACCGTCGATAGGGAAACTCCGCCGCCAATTAGCTCGTGCACATTGGAGTGTCTAGAGGACGGTGCATACTGCATACGCTCGAGTCGGCGTGTGATGTCATTTAGCTGTTTCGTGTGACTCTGCAGTGTTGCATTCATCTGTTCCACGGCATTTGTGAGTCTGAAAAATTACAAAAAATATAATGTATAAAACGGATATATATATATATATGTATAGGAACGGATTGAACACTCACTGTTTGATGGCGGCGCTATTGGAGCCGCGCTTGACGGCGCCTTGGGGTGATTGGCTTGAATCCGAGTTAGTGTCGCGTGGTGCCAGCACAAGGGATTTGTTTTTAGCCTTGGGCGCCTTGGAGCCCTCTGCGGATGGTACAATAGTTAAATGTCGAAAGGACAGAGCGACTGAATTCATACCGGCACGCAGCGGAATCAACTTGTCGGCGCCGAGCACGACGGGAACAGTTTTATTTCGAGTCTCGGTGATCACCTTGTAATCGCATTCGTATTGGCGCACATCGTTACGCACGTCCCATGGCCGCAAATCTGAATATTTGTATATCCATTGACCGTAATCGTTCAGCTCGAAAAGCGTCGGAATATGTTTCTTATCGTTTTCAGCACGTTCCTTGGCCGATGCCCGCTGGCTTTCCTCAAGCACGGTTTTCTCTTCGGTGGCAGCAACTTGATCCTCGCGCGCTATAGCCTCGGATACGAGACGCCAGAGGCGTTCCGATTCCGTTGGCAGTTGTTTTTCCATTGGCACCAGATAGCGGGTGAGCCGCTTCGAGCGCATATCTGCATCGGCCTTAAAGAGCAATATTTCCTCGCCTGTTTTCAGATCCTTGAGACGACACTCTTTATCCCAGTGACCTTGTATAGTCGCCAGCGTCTCTTTGCCCAATTTAATTTTGCCCACGACCACATTGGTGGCATCCGCGCCGCCGAGGAATGGCTTCAGTTTGAATTCGAGCTCCGTCTTGTAACCGGTGTTCTCGCACTCGATGTTTATCTTGCCGCCAAGTTCCATGGACAATGTACCCATGAGTATACCCTTGCAGTGAGCATAGGGCGTGGTCGCTGTATAAATTTCGCCGCGGGGCAATAGCGTCATCGTAGCCGTGCCCTCCAGCACGGCCGATGTGCTGTTGCCATAGAACTTCGATTTCGCCAAGATGGAGCAGGTGATGCTAAAGCCATCCTCGCGGTTAGTCACATAAAAGGCCGAAACGGGCGGATGGTGAGAGACTTGCTCGGCAATGTAATACGTGCGAGAGCCATTTGGATGCTCCCAATAGCAACGAAACGTTTCGCCCAATATGGGATTATATGGCTTTTTGAGGCCTTTGGGTTTCTTATAGAATCCAGACAGGTACCATTGCACAATGATCTTCATGCGCGTGAATGCATCATCCTCATGCACAGCCCTGCCAAGTAGCAAAATTCGAGATTGAGGGCCACCATAACACATATTGGCAGGAGTACCTACCTAGAGAGCAAATCAGCATGATAATAAGAGTCTGAGAGCTTGTCCAGAAACGAACGCGGCTCGAGTATAAATGTAGGCAGCACCACCTTGCTAAGATCCATTCCGGGTCGAACCTGTTTTACGATACACCAGATGAGGCTCTTGTTCTCCTCTGCCAGCTCCTCCACCTGTTCTCCTTGCTGGAGCCAATCAAAAACCCACATGGGTGAATTATCTGGGCAAATTTTAAATGGGTTAACACAAATAGTTGTACTTACCTCACCGAATTCCTCTTCTTGAAATGGGACATAGCACGTTTCCTCGCATGGTACCTGGTCAAGATCATCTTCCTGCGCCGCCTCTGACTCTGAATCAGACTCCAGACCAGACATGGCCGCATTGGGCGCCTCATTCTGGCTGTCAGCGTCCAGATCTGTAACGAGTTGATAAGTTGTTCAACTTGTAGCTCTCTACAAACGTTTCTCTAGCCAAAGCAGCAGCAGCAGCACCGCTACAATGATGATATATTCCATAAACTAATGCTAATGTGTACCGGCTTTCGGATGGGTGGATGAGTGACTGAGATAGTTATTTAAAACTAGCCTCGAGCACCACATTACAATTACATGAATTTTGAACAATAAACGCCGAGACTACTTTATGTAGAAGCATCAAAGCTATCGAATCGACTGTCGAATCTCCTGGCTAACTAGCCGGATGCCAACAACAATAACCAAACTACGACATGAATATATATTTAATATATAGAGCGAAATCTGGTTGGGGCCTTCACCCTGCACGTTGATTTGAAATCGCGGCAGCAGCAGACAATCGGGCGGTGCACTAACTGGCCTGAAGCCTGCTCCCTTGGCGCATACACTGCTGCCAGCGTAATCCACATCCTCGTCGTCACTCGAACTGCTTCCGCAGAGCACGCCGCCCAGCGATAGGGATTTGCTGATCGGACTCAGATGCCTGCGCAGGCGTCTGCCTGGCTTTGGGTCAGCGGTAGAGGCATCGCTGCCGCGTCGTGTTTGTCCCGAACGTTGGCCAAAACGAGGAAGTCGCTTGGTGCGCTCCCAGTTACTCACGGCGCTGCTATATAGCTGCTGCAGTAGCGGCGTCTGGGCGCGCGACGACTGGCTGTTGTCGGAGCGGGAGTTCTCCTGCTCGGCCGGCGGTGCCAGCCATTGCTGCATCCACTTACCATGATCGTTGAAATGCTTCTCGTAGTCAGCCTCCGACCACTGTGTCTCGTTCGAGACGGGCAGCGGCTCGCCGGCATAATTGCTGGAAGGCGTAGTGCTGCTGTTAGTGCGCAGCAATAAAGCTGAGCAGCGCAGCGACAGCTCGAGTGCATCCATCCAGCATTTGCCGGCCGCCTGACTGGGGGCACGGAAGATCAGATAAGCGGTCGGCAGTGGTTGCACCACAGCGCCTGTAAATTAACGAAATTACCGGATAAGTTAATGTCGCAAGTGTGCAATTTGTACACTAACCGATTGTCTCCTTGTCTGGTCCTCGTGGTGCCCAAATGGACTGCTCCATGGGATGAAAGAGCTTGAAGCAGAAACCATCCTTTTTGCTGGGTCGCTCAATGACCTGACAAGAGGTCAACATAACTGTGCCCACCCAATGGCTGCTTTTTGTCTTTTGACTCTTGTAGATGAGCAGTAGGCCCGGCTTCAGCACGCACCACAGCTTCGTCCAGGACTTGAGTGTGCCGCGCACCTGCCAGAGACAAGAAAGGAGCGTCTTGTCAAGTTAAATATACAGTACATACAGTTATATAGACTCACCTTCAGCCAGTCAGCTAGTACTATAACCGCCGGATCCTGCAGCGAGTTCATCAGCTCACTGGCCACGCGCTTCTTCTCACGCCTGTAGTTCTTGCGCTGCGCCTTGTACGACTCCTTGCGATTGAGCTTGGCCGCATCTGCAGCTGACTGTGGAGCACGAGAGAGAGAGAGAGAAGAGTTGCTTTAGTTCAATATGTCCAAGCAGCTGTGTTGCTGCATGTCTGCACCTTCCTGCAGTCCCGGCATAAATTTAAATATTTGAGAAACATGCGCTCGCACTGGAATTTGCGCTCCTTGTGTGTGTGTATCAGTGTGTGTGTGTGTGGGTGTGTGTGCTTACATCAAGCGACCAACTTGCTCTAAAACATTTTTTACGCTTAACGCCCAAACTGGAATCATATACCTGATGTTAATCTAATTAGCGCTTAAAATGAAAGTTACTCAAACAAAAAAAAAAAAAGCAAAATATAAAAACGCTACTATCTCTGTATCCAAACTAAAAGATACCCTGTGCCCAATTTTCAAATACTAACTAATTTGGTTCACATTTAACGCAGCAAGCTATCGGCACATGTTGAAATTCAAAACAAAACCACACACAAAAAAGACAAAGCCTAGGTAAAATGTTTTGAAAATATTAATATTGATTTGTATGCCGAAACGTTATAAACATAAAACAATTTACTTTCAGGCGCTGGCAGATTGCCCATACAAATCTTTAGAATTTCCAGTTTTAGTCGGATTTTAATAGATTGTCTAATAGCTGGAGTTTGCACAATACCATTTCAAGTTCAGCTAAGAACATTTTCTAGATTTGTTCTAAGTCTGTCTATCCTTTGATACAAAAGTAATACGCTCGTATGAGTTTTGGGCACAGGATATTGGGGAAGCCATAGGAAACTTAGCACGTGCTCTGTTCATATCTATTGATATTCAATCTGTGTTCTAATGCCAGCAACCCCCACACATTGATTATAGCTGCATTAGTCAACATTTGCGCTTATCGTAGCAGAGCTCTTATCGCAGCAAGTTCACTTAGACAATTACAATCTTGACCCAGTTTTAGTGTTATTTCATATTTTGAAAATGTAAAAGCAATACAAATAGAAACAAAATGAAATTGTTGCACAGCTTTGGGAAACACTTGCCTTATCTGTTGGATTGCCATCGCGATTATCTGAGGCCCAATTGGCGATTCCTGCGAAAAGAAATGGAATAACATTTATAAGTGGCGCGCCGACTGATTTTGTATGCTTTAATGGTCCGCAATAGGTTCGATTTTCGGCTAAGATCTAAAAGCAATTCGAAAACATATTCACGGCCTATTATTATTTGTTTGTGTATTATGTATGCGCTAATGCACGTAGACACCCGCATGTTTAAAGTACATAAAAACAAATCAACATTGTCTCAAGGTAGCCCACAGAGCAGCGGCAGACGCGGCGCATTCTGTTTTATTTATTTTACAAATATGTTTTCATTTATTTCGCAATATAAGCAGAGCAACACAAAATACACACATGACCACATACGTATGCATATTAGCTGGCGAGAATGCCCATTGAGATTCAAAGTCTCTGTCTCTGACTCTGGTCTCTGGGGTCTCTCAGTTCGCACTGTCAAGCGACTCGCACTTGCACTGTAATCATTATTGCGCACACTATTATTATTGTCATTTTGTTATTTTTATTCAACTTTTTTGTGCGCGCCAAAAATACGCAACGAAAACAATTTTCGAATTTACGAAGCGTCTTTTCTGGCAACACGTTATAAAAAGCATATAAATTTCAGTTCATAATTGGGCACACTGTAGGGGCGCTACGGAGGCGTGTCAATTGGCAATTGGCACTTGCTTTGTAGTAGATTCATGACAACTCTTTGGTACGCTGCCTGCCTTCACACTGAGCTCACAGCTGAAGAATGTGCGTAGAAATTGGGGACTGCGTTAATTGTTGCCTTTGCATATTTGTTCAATCAACGCGGCACAGCACGGCGTATGCGTTATGCATTATGCGCAGACGAATCAGAAAGAACACGTATCCGCAATGTGAAACCGACTAGACGCCAGCAGCGAATGCGTACAGGGATACCGCGCCAGACCAACCGACGACTGCCTGATTGCCAGATATATATATATATATATATATATATGTTTGCCGCGGCGCACGAAAACAAAACGCAGCTAACTAGGGAGCCGGAGCCGCAACGACAACTGAATATGCCCAAAGAGCAGCGACGAGCAGCTGCCGCCGCTGGCCCAGCGGCGATGACGCGACTGACACAGCGGCTGACGCTCGCGTCGCTGCCGACATAGCCGCCCAGTACGCCATATAATAATGAGCCATTAGCTATGTAGTGGCTGTTGTTGCCGCTGCTCGCCAAAAAAAAAAAATAAAAGCCAAAACAATTTTTTGAAAACGTTTCGAATATTTGTTTTTGAGCACAAGAGAGGCGCGTTTCTTTTGAACTGCAGCAGACGTCCGCCCAGTTACACGGTTGATACTTAGTACTTGTGTGTTGTTTTAGACGGCCCGCAGATATGATATCAGTCAGCGCAGTCAGCGTCGACGTCGACGTCGGCGTCGCAGCTTTTCTCGCTATCTATCTAGTCGTGTCTCATACATTCTCTCGCGCGCTCTCTCTCTCTGTCAGTCTCTCCCCCAAACATTTGGGGCGTTATCGATGAGGTTATTAACTACTTAGATACTTAAATGTATGAGCACACACATTGTGTGTGTGTGTGTGTGCGTGTGTGAACTGCACACACATACAAAGCTTGCAGTGAGCTCATGAGACGTGATCCCAAGGCGCCTGTTACTAAAGCGTTGATTTGATTATGGCACGACTTAATTTTGTAGCACAATTTTAATGGACCTAAGATCAAACAGCTATTTAAGTACACACAAACTTTAAGCTACATCTGTTCATTTCCATGATCTTACTCAATGTGCACATATAATACAGTGCTCGCTCGCAAATGAAAACTTCAACAAGGGTTTTAAAACTTGTTCAAACTTCAACTTGAAATACAATGAAATTAATTATATAATATCTTATATTATTTATCTATATATGTCTAAGAGTCAATTTCGTCGTGGTTTTATAAAAATACTAGACTCAAAGGTGCTTAAAATCAGACTAAAAATAAAAATTATTTCGACCAAATTTATGGAACTGACGTAAAGTCTAATTACCAGTGCTTCAAAAAAAAAATTGTAAAATTTACGAATTGCAAAAAAAAAAAAAATTGTACTTCTGGAAGTCATATTTTTGTGCACAAAAATGAAAGGTTCAAAACTATTATACAATGTATTTGAATTCATTAAATAGGTTAATTTTCAACTTTTCCATAATCATTCACAAAAAAAGAATCTTAGTCTTATAGATACATTTTAAAATTCCCAGCGGACGTCTTTAAAAACCCAAGATATCAAATAAAAAAATATAAATAAATTTTAAGCTTTTACATTTTTTGCAAGTTGTTAAATAAGATGTTTTTAGCGTCTGCCACACGTGCTGAAATTGTCATAATTCAACTCGTAGACGCTTTCGCATATGTTGGCCTTAATGCAAATGGTAAATAAAATAATAAACAAATTCATAAAGCAGCCCGTGCTCGCATTAGATGCCAGATGTGCTTTGAACTTAGAACATTTGACTGCAGACTTTAGATATGAAGATAAAGCATTCGCAGGGAAACCAGGTGTTCGGCAACCCGTTATTCATATGCCAATATTGCTGACAGGTCGAATGGCGCCTGATGATTCAGACTGTGCCAAAATAATAAAACAAAAAAGAAATGTAGAACCCTCTTATCGTACCGAAAATTGCTATCGTAAAGTTCTGCAGTCAAATGTTATATGAGCGGGCTTTTCAATTGAATGCCAACGTTGTGTTGTTGTGTTTGTCCATTAATTAAGGCTTATCGAGAGTGCGAACATTTTTAAGTTCTACAACAACTAAATATAACAATAAATGTGGTGATAAGATATGATTGGACAGGTTGTCAGGCAGGGGCAGAGCCACAGCCAGGCTGTTGGCATCTTTCATCCAGGAAATGGGCAGAACGGGATGCGGGGCTGCGGTACGAATCGCCTTCAATTCTAAGTCATAATGTCGCAAAAAAATATACAATACGCGTACAACAATAACTGAAAAGCTTTTGATAATGCACCGTGCGGCACACAATAGATGAGAACGAAAGCAAAATCATACAAATGGCAGCCAAATGCGTCAGAGATATGGAAACGCTTGACTGACTGGCCAGCGACTGGTCTACGGTCATGGCTAAGTGAATACTTAACAAGCAAACTAATCGAGATATGCATACAAATGTGTCTCTTCCTCATTAGCCAACTGCATATAGGGCTAACGATCCGATTGCTGATGATCACAATAAGCGAAAGCAAAAGTTAAATGAATATGCAAAATATGTGTCGAGTTTTCATACATTTCATACATTCATTTAATGATCGGCGAAAAAACCAGTGTGATCAGTCTGATCACTGGAATTATCATCCAACTATTATATGTGAAAATTAAAGTTTCATCGGTTGCATGATCGATAGAATGATCGGTGCAATGATCACGGAAGTGCTATGTTAAATTTTTATGTAACCAGTGGAATGATCGATGAATTGTTTGCTGAAATGGTAAGTGGAATATTCATGGAAGCAATCAGTGAAATTATCGGTGATATTATCGATGAAATTATCGGTTAAATAAATTGTAAAGCGATATGTTCAATGATCCGTTAAATAATCGGTGATAATTCGTTCAACTGTGAACTGTGCAAAATTTGGAAAAGAACTTCACCTGGCGATGATGGCGCTGGGCTGTTGCTCAAACTGTCTGTGGAGGGCAGTTTGGTTAAAAGCACCTTTTGCGAGGGTCGACGCTTGAATTTGAAATCGAATACTGCAGTTAATGTGAGCAGTTAACCCATACATAGAATGAAATATGTTAAAAGAAAGGAAGAAATAGAGAAAGCAAACAATATATCTATAGAATAGTCAATTTATATCAATACAACTAGTTAGTTCTAAAGCTCTATAGTTCTTTTGCTACACACACATTAACATTCATGTTTACGACATTGACACGACTTAAGTAGACATAACTGGACATTGAAAAAAGTAGAAAACCAAAACAAATACTAAGCAGTCGAGAAGTTTAACAATACGCAAGAGCACAGATCGAATGAACAAATGAACGAGTTTGTGACCTTATTTACTAATAAAACAAATAAAGCTTAAATTTATATGTAGATGAGAAGTTTGGTTTTGAGTGTGATTTACTTTCATTTCCTATTGCTGAAAGTATATTTTATAATCTAACTAATCCAAACACAAAAACTATCGATAATTATCACCATATCGAGCTATTATCTTGATCCCAACTATAATCCTACTACATATCAGTATCTCAGCCATTGACAAGCTGCTATAAATATATAGGAAATTACATATAATTTTCTGTGTGATTCATATCATGATGGGAAACAATTAGGTTGTTATCTTATCTGACCTTGTGTCAGTATTTAACTGGCTGTTAGCAAAACGATCGATAATTATCGAGAATATCAAGCTGTATATATCATGATTTAGCACACTTAATTTGTAACCCTATCTAATTGTATCTCAGCAATTGTCTAGCTGCAGGGCATCTTTTATTGGGCGTGTTAATTAATCGCTGTAAATAAATTAAGTGCCGCTATCAATTTGCTGTCATCGGATATTAAGCACAGCACGCTGTCCTCAATAAACAAGCAGACTAGGGTGTTGGCCAACCAGCTGCTTAATCTGACGATAGCAGGCGAAAGGATGCGAGGATAGGTTGCATTGATTGATTTTAAATAAAGTGCTTGCAGCCGTTTCAATTACGCAATTCCCCGGCCCTTGCGATGCCAGCGATAAGATACGACTAGAGAAGCGTCCAGCTAGAGTGCACAGTCCGATACGCACACGATGTGTCATCGAGGCGGCTGATGGTCACCTTTCGATGGCCATTAAACTGGAGCTGGCCAATGGTCAATGTTGGCCGCAAATGATGAATGACGTCAACATGCGAATGCACTTTTAATTCTGCCAACAGCGGGCAACTTGTTGTTGCTTCACTTGCTACTTGACGTCATGCCATGCCCCCATATGTTGGGCCGCGCTGTTTATGTATATGGGATTCTATATAATCCAATTATATAGGGGGCTGGTCAATGTGGCAGTCGGCATAGGTAAGTGGAGCACTGCTGTTAGAGTGTAGAGCGGGCGGTGCGACGGGGCGCGGGAGAAACTGATTAGATATGCAAACGGCGGCCGCCAGGTGGAGCTAGCAATCAATATGCATATGTGCAACGAGCTTCGCACGACTCTCTAATTTATTACACGGTAATTTGCCCAAAAGCACGCTATAAAATATTCAACGAATGAGGCACACACACATTGAAATGGATAACTGATGTATATTCATTCAATAGATAAATTATGCAGCCCTCTGCCAGAGATGACGTTCAAATTCGTTCGTTATGCAAATGTAAAAGCGAATTTTCATCAACGGGCTCGGATGGGGCCCAAGACTAAAGTTCACAGTGCAGCTCTCACTTCTGACCTTTGCCACTGAAGCTCAAAACGAAACAAAAATAGAATACTGCATGCCTTTTTGGTACACAAGCCGAGCCCTTAACCCTTACCGCGCCCAAGCTAGGCCAAAAAAAAAAAATAAATAAAAAAATAAATAAAAGCACAATGGAATAAAAAGCTATGAAATGAAAATGGACACATCACAAAACGCAGTGACGCATCGATTTTTGTACTCTTTTTCTCTTCGAGAGGGAGAGCTAGGCACATTTGTATATCCAGCAGTTGGCACATGCTGCATTTCTCAGCGTTCATGGCCTGCAGTTGGCCCTTATGACGCCTTTGGCCCCACTGTGTCGGAGCCGAAGGGCAATAAAAAATGCCCAAAAGTTTGCGCGTGTAGCTAATTGTGAGTGTGCGTGTGTGTGTGTGTTTGCACAATGTTCACTGCAAAAATAAAAATAAAAATGTTTGCTAAAAATGTTATGCCAATTACTTACGACACAATACATAACGAATGCGAGCTAGTGAGAATAAATCTAAGACAGCATACCGAGTCCATAATACTCTTGCGAAGCTCTAGAAAAGGGTATTATACTTTGACAATGTGATAAATACGACCTTAGGCTGTCAAATATTCTATATTATTGTACTGCGAGCTGTACTAAAGTTTGATGTATAATATAAAAAATATATTTTATAATTGTGAATACTTATAAATCGGAAAATGTGTTCATTTCGAATATGGAGAAAATTCATGAAGGAAAATGAAATCGCTTCGAAAGTTATTTTTCCATTAAAACAATAAAGTCATGCCGATTTCCAAGAAAAATTCTATCTTCTATATACAAACTATAAAAAGAAATATTTGCAAAATACGAATTTAAGATATAACACGTTGAATGCAATTAAAATTCATTCAATTTCCGAGCGAGCCCTGTACACAAATAATTTTTGACCTACGTCTAATTGTCCGCGCGGTGCTCCCATGGCAAACCTCATAATGAAATTGTTCATATAGATATTTATGCGTATGCCAATTTTGACTGACATTAATTGGTTTGATCGAGCTCAGTTGAGCTTTGTAAATTGATAAATAGCAAACGGCCCATGGCAATCAAATGGCAACTATGGCGACCTGTATGACATCCACAGAAACAAACACGCATGAGACAAACACACGCACACGTACAGTGTTCGCTCATTAAGTAGGAAATTGGGATATTGGCTAAAAGCAGTTTTTTACAAGGCAAAAAACATTTATAGAACTCTTCATGTTTCACGTTTTGTCTTCAACTTTGAATACCTACAGCTTATTGAGTATATTTAATGAGCTCTTGAAACGAAACGTTCTAGTTAACGAGTGAACACTGTATGGACGTATGTTCATGCGTGAATTATGACGGGAACAGGTGCAAGTGCAAGTGACATGGGCCAAAGCCGATTTCAAATAGCTTTCAAATGGTGGTTGGTGTGTGCTGCGGTCAGAGCTTAGCAACGCAACCCAAACACAATAAACAATTAACGCCCAGCCTCGGTTGACCCCCGTCCCAGCCAGGGGTTGAGGAGGGGCAGAGCGGAAGTGTTTGATGTTTGATGCGATAGTCGACATTAGTCGTCTTGCGGCAACTGCCATTGAAATGGAGGAGTGACAAAATCAAAACAGAACAGAACTGCTTTCTGTGGATGGTGACCGACTCACAGATACCCCGTACTCAGCTCTAGATTGTTTTGACTTATAATCAAACTTGTCTACATACACTTGTCTGTATACAATCTGACGCCGTCATTTTTCCTTAGTTTAGTTTTGAATGAACTCGAACCGTTAAAATGTATCTTAACATTACATGCAACTGTTCTGCTGTGATTTGTTATTCAAACAGTAAGAAATTTCTGATCTAGATACATATTTAAGCACACGCGCCAAATTTGGTGGCCCCAACTCTTCAATTTTGCGAGGTGTGTCAAAAAAAGAAAATCAATATTTGTCAATTTCAGGAAAATGAGGTGACAACTCGAAATACTAAGACTTGCTGGGCGAGACGCCTTAAATCTCTAGCTGACCCAGAATATATAAATATATCTGCGTGTTACATACATTTGATCATATTCAATATGCCTCGCCGCTTACCCATTTTGAAAGGGTATTTAATTAGCGACAGCAGCAAAACATGGATTAGCATGTCGATGTATGTGTGTGCGTGTGTGTTGTGCGATGGAAACGAAACAAAAACAACAACAACAACAACAACAACAACAAACGAGAGCGAACAGTGAGCGAAAAATGTGAGCTGCTGCCTGAGCCAGCCGCCAATAGAAATGGAAAAGCAACGCAAAATGACGACACGAGACGACATTGAAAAGCAATTGGGGATTAGCTGGCCAACGGATATATCCTGGTTACCAGCTGTCCACCAGACGACTCACCTGATGACTGCCTGAGCCCGGCGCTGTTTGGTGGCGTTATGTTAATGCCACTGATGTTGCTGCCGGCGCCGACGCCGACGCCGACGTTGACGCCCAGTGATTGATTGGAGGCGGCCATCGAGAGGGCACCGGCTGTCTGCAGGTGCAGATGGCTGCCGCTTGCCGTGGGCACGCTGCTCGCCTGTGGCGTCTGCTGCTGTGGGGTGCCGGGCACCGAATGGGAGGCGGTGTTGCCCACTGGCGGCAGCAGCGAATCTCCGCCGCCCGCATGCTTGGCGCTGCCTATGCGAATGGGTGTGCTGCTGTTCGACAGAGCGGCAGCAGGAGCGGGAGCGGGAGGAGTCAGGCCGACAGCTGAGTTGATGATCGTTGAATTGGCAACGCTAGCTGCTTGATGTTGTTGTTGCTGCTGCATGTTGTCTTCTCGAGTTGTTGTTGTTATTTGTGCTGTGCTTCTTCTTCACTTATTGCCTAATCAGCATGGCATTTGCTTCAGTTGTCCAGCGTGCAAGGTTTGACACACTCACACACATACGCACGCACACAAACACGCAGGCACGGCCAATTATTGATTTTGTTTAGGTTTCCTTTTTTGCGCACATACAATTTACTTGGATATTGTTTTTTTTTTTTTTATTTTATTATATTTTTTTTTTGTTCAACTGTTTTGTGTTATGACCAATTTAAAACTGAAGTCCTGCTGTTACACTTATCTACATGTGTGTGTGTGTGTGTGTGTGTGTGTATTTATGCTCATATGTATGTATATTTGATTCGGATTGAAGTGCCAACTCCGTGGTAAGTTGGTTAATTAAAAGCAACGCTGCGGCCACGTAACAGCATTGAACCAATTAGTAGCGACTGCTAAAATAGCACAACGGCGGCCAGTATTATTGTTCTTATTCGCATACACTCAACAAGAAACAACACTCACACTAATGCGAGCTTGAAACACACTTCTCGTATTTGTAACAATCGTTTTTTTTTCCGCGTGGGCGCTCCGCTGTCGCTAACGTTTCACGTCCAACTGAAGCTGAGACTGGCACAACACTGCGGCACAATGTATTCACATACAATAATATGATGTATAGTATATATGTATGTATGTATGTGTTCGTATCTCATTTCCAAAAAGCTAAACTTGTTTCGACGCTTTTGTATGAGCTCATCCAATGCTGCGCCCGTTTCCCATGCCGACGCCGCCTCCAATTCAACACTAACAACCACCATTGCTCGTTTGTAAGATTATTTTTGTGACGCGGCAAACGACGCTGGAAGTGCAAACGCGAACAAGTTGAACAAGCTTTTTTTTTGTTTTGGGGAGGGATTGGAAGGCTAACCGCCTGCCCGCATTGCAAACAGCTGACAGCTTTCAAACTCATGGAAACGTATAATTTGCCTGTGCGTGTGAAGAGTGCAGATCTATATACATATAAATATTGGTCAAAAATGGTGCATTTTTTTAAATTGCTGGCATTTTAAAGTTCGTTTTAATCATTTAAATACATTTTAAACTGCTTATCATAGAAATTATGCGAAACAAAATCAAATGTAGTTTTATATATGTAAAGTGTATTTGCAATTGTTCTTAGCTATTTGACTTAATTTCAATATTTTATTTCGGTCCATTCATCATCTGTGGAGGAATCGTTCCCAGTGGTGGCGGCGGACCCATCATGGCCATTGGATTGAGTATGGGCGGCGGACGTATGCCTGTGGGTGCCATCAGAGGATTCATCATGGGTTGCATATACGGCGGCATATTTGGCATTCCTGGACGTGGCGGTGCTCCCATGTTGGGCGGCGGTATGGAAACGCCGGTTGGCTTGTTGCCCGGCGCGGGTCCAGCGAATGGATTATTTGTAATCTTGCCCGCCTTGAATGCAGCTGTAGTGGCATCGATCAGATGCTGGGCCTGCTCCTCCATCCACTTTTGGTAGTAGAACTTCACATTGTCACGATGTTTGCGGCCAGTGCAATGAGTTTTTCGCACCGACGGCGAATCGTGCGTCAAATATGTATCGCAATAGTCGCAGTAGTACTTGGGCATGCTGATATGCGGCGATTTCCAGTTTGTTTACGTTTTATATTTTTGAAATAAACATGAAAAACGTACGATGTCGAAATTAATATAAAGACGTACAGCAAAATATTATTGACAGACTGACCGTAAAAGACAAGCATGAAAATACACAAAATGCCATAAAAATATACTTACTGAAATACTAAAAATCCAGAAATAAATTAGTGTGGTAAAATGCTGACAAAATTTAACATTATTATCGGTCCATCGATATTTCTTGTAATGTGCGTGCTATCGATGAATAACCGTGCCTTTTGAGTATAACAGCTTAGTGCTGCCCTTAACATTAACAGTCTGCGTTAACAGTTTTTTTTTGACCGGCAAACGAGTAGGACGTGTGAGCGGACGTCAGCGCTGTCGTAGTAGTTGGTGTTGTTGTTGTGCGCACCTTTTTGAATGATGTGTCGACTGTGAATGAGCGGCAAACACGCGTAACGGCAATAAAAAGCAGCAAAAAATAGTGTGCCTGCCTGAGAAACAGAAGAAGCAATAAAATCGTAATTATTACCAATTCGTGTTCGGCGTGTTTAATGCTGCCGTATGAGATGCAAAGCATAAACCAGTTCAGAGTGCATAAATAACTGCCGCCCAAAACGCCGGTGTGTGTGTGTGTGTGTTTGTGTGTGTGAGCGCGGCTTACATTCAATTAAAAACCCGGCCAAAGTCTCGCATTAAGGCGGCCAACTAGTTTGTGCGTGCATGTGTGTGCGAGCGCGCGCGTCTCTGTGTGTGTGTGTGTGTGTGTGTAAACAGCTAAAAGCAAAGGAATTTATGTTGCCGCAGCATCGCAGAGCCAAAAACAGAAAACAATAGAGGCAGAGGCAAGGCAAAGGCAAAGCCGAAGACAACGTTGGAAGGAGCCGCCGTCGCCGCCATCGCCGCAGAGGATCCAACACCAGAAGTTGCTTGACCAGTTGCTCGGTTTTGGGATATTTGCGTTGTTTTCTCTCTTTATTGGATGGGATACGCGCCAGTCTGAATGAGGAGCAGGGGGAACAGCTAGCGATATGCCCTTTGTACAACGTATTGTGCAGCCGGTGAATGTGGCTCAGGCGACAGCCGCCAGTCTGGGGCATGCCTCCACGCGATTCCAGTGCGTGCCCGGCAAGTGCAAGAACAACAATTGCATCAATAAGCAGCTGTCGGATGAGACGGATGCCGGCACGCCCACATCGGCCGCATCGCCCAGCTTGACCCGGGCGCTGGTTCATGTTCTGCCCAATGGCGAGTCGGACGCTGAGCCGCGCCCGCCAGCCGCGCTGCCCATGAAGAAACTCAAGCAGCATGTGGAGTTTTTGCCCTCGACCACGCCCACAACACCCACACCCACATCGCCGACGCAAGCGCGTGCCTCCCAGTCGCTGCCGAATTCGCGCCATCCCAGCCAGCAGCGCGTGGCGCTGCCCGCACGCAACGCCAGCGCGCCGCAGTCGCCGACAGCGACCCGGATCGTGTCCGGCTACGAGTTCGACTCGATCAGCAATATAACGCTGAGCAATGCGCTGCGCCAGCTGGCCAGCCTGGTGCTCATTGCCAGCGACATCTTCGACGAGCTGCAGCGGGACTTGCAGTCGGTGGGCGAGCGGGCGGGCCGTGTCCAGCGCAAAATCACGGCCGTCGAGCGGCGCGTTTGTGCCTACGATCCGAAAATGGTCACAGTTCGTAAGTATTCCAAGAACACAATATATTATTTAAGCTTGAACACGCATGCAGGCAGCAGGTACAGTAAAAGCTCTCTTGAGGTGATCACCCACAGCACCTGTTCAGGTAAATGTTTCCTTGCGAGGAATAAACAATTTAGTAACAAAATTAGAGGATCGATACGCAACTCACTTTTATTTTTGCTGTGAACCCAATCTTAAGCCGAATTTTTCACAAACGAAAACTATTTTAATTAATCTTTCTCTTCTGGCAGTGCCACATTAACATCTGTACAAATGTGTACAGGCTTTTGCACTGTTAATGTTAATGTCGATACACACACACGAGTACACATATACATATACATGCATAGGCGAGCTTATTGCACGGGCCAAGCATCAGCATAACATAACATAAAATCTATGTTTTGTGAAGAATATATTAAAATTTAGATTATCTTTTCAATTTTATTCAAGAAAAAATTGATTTATCAAATCTAGATATTTGTTATTTAAATCGAATTTATCCGTTAACAGATTTGCTTTTGTGTTGGCTAATTTTCATAAAAGATTTTCCGTTATAAAACTTGTTTAGGTCAAAAAACGTTCACCCAAGAATATTAAGAAAAAATATTGGGGTTAAATAAATCGGCCGACCACTTGAGATGTCCGCCCCAAGCAGCCGACCGTTAGTAGAGCTTTCACTGTATATAGTATATATATATATATATATATATGTGTGTGTGTGTGTGTGTGTGTACACACATATGCATGTATGCATATTTGAATTGCCATTCATAGCGAGTCGCTGGCAAAGTCAAGTGCGTTTATCAAAGGCAGCTTATCTAGTGTCATCTCTCGCTGCCTTGCTCCCCCCTCCTGTACTGCTTAGTATGCGTGTCTGCCGAGCTTTCGTCTGTGCTTGCATATAGTGCGTGTGTGTGTGTGTGTGCGCGTGCTTGCTGTGGGTGGCTGCCTTTGCGTCGTGCTGGAATCTTATCTTGGCTTCGTTTTTCTTTCGTTTGCTTTGTTGTAAATTAAATTCAATTTGCTCGGCGCAAAAGCAGAGCGCGAAATTAACACCTTGTTTACTTTCTGGTTTTGCTGCTGCTGCTTCTTCTTGCTTGCACATTCACTCTGGCAGGCGCGGCGTGTTGTAGGTGGAGCTGTGGCCTCTTCGCACAATTAGCTGCTACTACAATTACAGATAAGCGGCTAAAGTTGCTTTGGCTCATTGTTTTCGCGACCTTGTGTTAAATTGTGGCCAACATGTTTGCGCATTTATGTATGTTGCATTCTGCTCTGTCTGCAGGCCTTCAAGTTTTGTGGCAGCAACAAGTTGCAGTACGTTGCTTGCCTGTCGAACGGAGCTCGCTCCACATTTGGCATTGCCTTGGTGCAGCATTTTTTTTTTGTTTTTAATTTTCTTTTCGTGCCGTTTGCATTTTCAGAATTTTGCTATTCGCTGGAAATTTGTGCCTGTGCAATAAATTTTACGAGAAAAAAAATACAGCTCAGACGTCAGACTGGCGACGCTGACTGCAGCTTTTTGCTCTTTTCATATTCTTTCTGCTGTTTGTGATGCATTACCGCAAAGTTTAGTGTTGCCAGAGTGATCGAATGCGATCGATTTGCAACACCGCACGCTCCCTCTCGCTCTCTCGCCGTTTACTTTTGACAGCTGACAGCTGCTGACTAAAGGCAGCTGCTGCAAGCAAAAGCAGCGCGCGCGCTAATTGCTCAGGTATGAAGCGCACAGAACAAGAGAAGCACGTAATTACAAGCACATAGCACACGCAAACACACACGCATATGATAAAGTATTGGTAAGTTGGTAATTTTGCAATTGGCATTTGCTGCAATGGCCACATGCAGTTATGCTGACGGCCGCTCTCACCTGTGCGCGCGCGCTCTCCTCCCTGCCAGTGTTGCTCAGCGCCGCTCATTAATGTGCCCATAATAGAAAATGCCATTACAGCGCGACATCCATCGCCATTGCCATTTGTGGGCAAATGTTAACTAAGCCGCAGTTGCCTCAAAGGGGGCCGTGCAGCCATGCGTGTAGGGAGACAAAGCGTGCGGCAGCAGGGGTGCGTCTTTCTGCTAAAGTCTAGGGAGAGGAAGAGAGGCGCGCAACTGTTACCGTTGGCTGAGTTTTTTTTTTGTTTTTGTTTTTTGCTACCTCTATCAATCGGCCATATTGCTCGGCAACATGTAAACAGGCGCTGTGCCTGCCGCATACGTGACTAGACTATGAGTGACTGCTACTGTTGCGGCTGCTGCTGCTGCTGCTGCTGGTGCTGTTTGCACTTTGAGTTGTTGCTTGTTGGTGAAGGCAGCTGCACTTTGAACATGACCGCTATCCACTTGGCCAAAGGATGGCCATTTACTTGGAACTTGGCACAATTGATATGTGAAAAAAAATACATACATACTTACATACATCTACATATGTGTGCGTGGGCAGTTTATAGTTTTGTGTACACATGGCATTTGGCTGTTAAGCTAATTTGCTACGTGTTGCCAATGCCAGTGAAATTTAATCCCATGAAGTACACTTGGCAATGGTTGATAAAATGCGCACCTGCCTCATCAATCTTATATAAAACAGTCCAGGGTTGTTGTAGATGGTGTTTCAGCATAACAGAGACTTACATGTTAGTTACTGTGCATTTTACATTACAGATAAATGTTATTGAAAGGGTATGCAAGCTGCGACTTGCGAGCTTTTCATTTTATGGCCTTCCTATATATTTTTTTCGTCTGTCTTCTGTTCCAAAAAGTAATTGCTGGCACAGTGGGAATAAATTACGCGCAGCCTGACCAAAGATATGGCCCGCATCTGAGCAGCGCACAAAACCTGTTCCCACCTGCAACATGTCGTTTCGAGTGTGTATGTGTGTGTGTGTGTGTGAGCGACGTCTGTGTGTGCCGCCACAAAACTAAACAAACCAGCCAACGAAAATAAACCTTAAGCGCTCTAAAGAAGAAGGAAAAAAAAAACGCTGCGTGCCACAGCCAAATAATTTCAACTAACCAACAAAAATGAGATACAAACCGAAAAAAAAAAGCAAAAGATACAGATACTGTGCGTTATTGTCTGTTGCCATAGTTGTTAGTTTGGTTTTGTTCTTTTTGTGCTTGTGCTTTAAACATTCGACGCATTATTGTATTTCAAGTGCGCTGATGAGCATTTGATTGTTGCAGCCGGGTTTGCCTTGGGGCTGGCGGCGTTTGGGGGCAGCGGGCACTTTATTTTTCTGCTTGGAATTCTTTTTACTTTACTTCTTCTTTTTTTTTTTTTGTTTACTTTTCCCAAACAACATTTTGTTCTCACTTGAAGCGCAAAACCGAAATGTAAACCAAGCAAAGTCGCGGCCAGCACAGTCATACAGATACAGATACAGATAGGGATACAAATACAGATACGGCGGCAAGATACAGATAGAGATAGAACACTTACATGTATATATATATATGTATATAGATGCGCGCTGTCAGCGCTGTGCATACTATAAACAACAAGTGAGTCTCGGCGAACCGGTGTTGCAACGTGTGGCAATCGCCAGGTTGCATAAGCTGCCATCCAACTGGGAACCTGGGAACCCAACCAGCTCTGCTATGCCATATTTGCTTTTGTGGTAGATAACATTCTTTCTCTTCGTTTTTAATGCTGCTGCGTTGTTTGCTCAACTTGGGCAGCAAGTGTAGCTGAAAAGTGCGCGAACAGCGAACAGCGTTGCGCAGTTAAGGCCACAAGTTCAACGGCTAAGAAACTTGTTGCGTGCCACCAAGAACAGCAACTGGAATCTGCAGATTGATTGCCGATCGTCGTCTGCGTCTGCGTCTGCATCTGTAGTTGGTGCATTTTTGCACGTTTGCCATAGCCAATACATGGCCACAGCTCGTAAAGTCGCTGCCGGAGTTTCAGTTTGATGCATTTCTATGCAACCGCAGCAGCAGCAGCAGCAGCAACAACAACGACGCACCTTTCAGTCATTGAACTTTAAGCTATGCGTTACCCCGCCCGACATCAGACTTGAACGTCGTCAATACTCGAGACTGCAGCGGGCTTCATTCACAGCCAGACGACGTTTGCCCCGAAACCGAAGATCGTTTCGTTTCGTTTGGTTTGGTTTTGAAGTGCGGCGCTTTTTCGATCCGTTCGGCTCATAAAGAACTTTAAATTGATGTGCCACAGCCGAACGCAACGTTAATTTCTATTTGTTGTGTAGCCGAACACAACGACAGCAAGAAGAGTTACGTACGGATTGCCGAACATTGAATACGCTGTAATATTAAAAAACAAACCATGCTGCTTGCGTTGTCTTCGTATGGAAGTTATGTGATATAGTTGTCTAATGAAATGTTCTGAAAATCTTAGGATTTCTCATATATATTTAAATTAAATTAAAGCTCGTTAATATTATCCTAAAGCGTGACACAATCCGAGGCACAAATTCGATGTACCCTCCGCTAGAGTATACAAAACACAAATAGCTTTTGTTGTTGCTTTCGTTTGTTTGCCTGCAGCGGATGTGATTTGGTGCCGGTGCTGCAATAAATAGTCCAAACTTAAGAGCTACACGAAAAGCGTTGCGGTTTCAAGTTCAGCGACAGTCTTATAAACAGCTTGCTAGAATCAAAACACCCGCATTTTACCTATGGGAGCTGTACGAGTTTTAGCCAAATTGACTTTCTGAGCCATAAACTGTTGTCTCTATGCAGCACGACGACTTTCTAATCTAGCTGTTCCCTCTCTGTGTGTGTGTCTATTTACATGAGAATGTTGCCCCATGGCAGACACTCACAAGCGTCTGCTTGCACCTTTCCTGACTGCAATCTCTTGGCCTCCATGTCTAAGCATATCAGTTGAGATTTAATGGCATTTAAATTTAATTTATAAAAGCCAAACATGTTTCTAAATATGCCCATTAAACTGGCTGTTGCAAGTCGTGTGGCATGCGGCATGTGGCATGTGGTGTGGGCACACATAGACAACAGGATATTGTAGGCGTTAGA